TGGTGTCTTTACTATTTTTTATATATGTCATCTCCAAACAGAGACAGTTTTGCTTCTTCCCCTTTCGTTTTGATGCCTCTTATTTCTTTTTCTTGCCTAATTACTTCCACTGCTGTGCTGGACAGGGGCGGTGAGAGTGGACACCTGACTTGTAGCTGATCTTGGAGGGGAAGCTTTCGGCTTTTCGCTGTTGTGTGTCAGCTGTGGGCGTGTCACGTACGGCCTGTGTTATGCTGAGGTGCATGACTTCTGTGCCTAACTCTCAATATTATTGAGAGTCCTGATCATGAAATGATGTGGTATTTTGTCAAGTGATTTTTCTGCATTTACTGAGATGATCATAGGATTTTCCCCTTCATTTTGTTAATGTGGTTTATCACATTTATTGATTTACATATGTTGAACCATCCTTGCATCTCGGGAATAAATCCCATTTGATCGTGGTGTATGATCCTTTTGATGTGCTGTTGAATTCAGTTTACAAGTATTTTGTTCAGCATTTTTTCATTTTTGTTCATCAGAGATTGGCCTATAATTTTCTTACAGTGTCCTTCTTTGGCTTTGATATCAGGATAATGCTGGCCTTGTAAAATGAGCTTGGAAGTGTTCCCTCCTCTTCAGTTTTTTGGAAGAGTTTGAGAAGAATTGGTGTTACTTTTTCCTTCACTGTTAGATCACTCATTTAATCTCTATACTCATTTTTGGCCTGCTCAGGTTTTCTAATTTCCTCATGATTCGGTCTTGGTAAGTTGTATGTTTCTAGGAATTTACCCATTTCTTCTAGGTTATACCATTTGCATTTAATATTATATCATGAATACTTTTTCATATTATGGGGCAGTAGTGTGGAAATGGCTTTCACAGCAGGTCTGTGTTGAAATCCCTGCTTTACCACGTATGGTTTGCATAAGTCTTTTTTTTTTTTTTTTTTTGAGAGTACATTTATTAAAGCTGGGGGCAGTGAAACCAGGAAGGACTTAGGACAGAAGAAGCAACAGGAGAGAGAGAAGCTGTGCCTGCTTTGGCTCTCTGGAAATGTTAGAAGGAAGACATGAGCCTAGGGAGCTGCTCTGGCTCACTGGGGAGTCAGAGAGAAGGGGGCCTTGGTGACAGGTTCGGGGTGAGCCTGGGATGCGCTGCTGCTCACTGCTCCCCAGTTGCAAGTCTTGTGGAAACCCTTAGAGTTTAGGACGTGCATGCCTGTCGGGGGTGAAGAGGGTAAAGGGGAAGGCAAGGGCGTGCTCCTGGGAGGGGGAGCATCAGTCTGCATAGCCTTGAGAGGCATTTTCCCCCGAATTTCGTGTTTATCCCTCTCGTGGGGATTCTGCTCTGAGCCAAGTGAGGATTAGGTATCATAAGAGTGGCCTTGGCACACGAGTCAGTTCTTGGTAAGTGGTGCAAGTGCAGAGTCGTGGTGCTTATGGTTGTTCAGAAACGCCTCAGAGATGTGTTTTTAATGACATTGTATTATTAAATGAAATGATGAAGAAAAGTGAGGAAAACCCTGGCCAAGTAGCTCAATTGGTTATAGCGTCATCCCTATATGCCAAGGTTGTGGGTTTGGTCCCCAGTCAGGGCGCATATAAGCATCAAAGAGGTTTCTCTCTCTCTTCCTCCCTCCCCTGCTTCCTTTCCTCTCTTTATCTAAAATCAATAAATAAAAATTTAAGAAAAAAATTGCCCTGGCTGGTGTGCCTCAGTGGATTGAATGCCAGCTTGCAAACCAGAGGGCCGCTGGTTTGATTCCCAGTCAGGGCACATGCCTGGGTTGTGTGCCAGGTACCCAGTAGGGGGTGCTTTTGAGAGGCAAGCACACACTGATGTTTCTCTCCCTCTCTTTCTTCCTCTCTTCCTCTCTCTCTAAACGTAAGTAAAAAAAATTAAAAAAAAAAAAAAGATGGCTTGTTTTGCTTAGCAGATTGTCTGTATGTGAGAGTGATCCACAGTGTTGCCCGTGGCAGGAATTTGTTAATTTTCCTTTCTTTCTCTGTGGCCCTTCTCATCTGTGGATTCTGCCAAAGGATTAAACCCTAATAGCTTTTAACCTAAAAATAAAGGCCAAAGTGAAAGGCAGTAGCATTTATTTGAGATCTAAAAGAACAGCTCTTCAGGAAGCACTGGTTCAGGCAGAAACCCAAATAGCATTCCAATTAGGAGGGGAAGGCAAGGGGTATTTGACAAAGGGAAGGGGAACCATTACACCAACAAAAGAAAGGATTTCTGTAGGTGAAGGTAAGCTAACGTAGGGATGCTCCTTCCAAAGGAAGTTTTAAACCTTCAGCCTGGTAGTCCCGATCTCATTACCTGCGCAGATAGCTGGTTAGAAGACAGTGCTGCCCTAGGCCTGGCCCAAAGGTTAGTCTGCCTGGTTTTAACATCCGGACATTTGAGGGGTGACACCGGCAAGGCAGCTCCTCTGGGGTGACAGCTCTGATGCCATTTTTAAGTGGCTCCAGTTATATTATTTTTCACATGTCCTACAGCACCTATCCAGGAGTGGAATTAATTTCTGTGCATCTGGGATGGTAGTAGCCAGGTAACACCTTTGGGAGAATTGAGAAAATAGTCACTCAAATCATTTGCAGCAGCGGTTAATCTCTCTCACAGTCCTGAGAAAGGCTGGGAGCCTTAGCTTTCCTGGGTTTTTTCTCTAGCAGCTCCCTAAGGTCTCCTAGCAGATGACTTCTATTATCTTAGCTGGCTTTTCTCCTTCTCCCTGGCAGTGCTGGTTCGCTGCAAGCTGCTCCATCCCACCAGGAAGTGGAAATCTGGCCAACATGCTTTAAATGCATAGCTGGGCTCCTAGGAAAATAAGGGAAATTCCCAAGGGCAAAAAAACAAAAAACAAAACCCAAACCCAAAAACTGGTGTTGAGAAGGAGCTGGAACTCAGTGGGTGAAAGAACACAAGCCAGGGCTGCCCTGAAGCATAGCAGAAACTTGGACCTTAGAGCCTTGGAGTTAGAACAGCTGGTAAGGGGGAGCAGGAGCCAAAGCCCCAGGCCCCTCGTCAGCCCAGGATATGGGACTGTCAGAGGGCTCTGCGCCTTGAATGGAAGAGTGAGCCTGGAAGTACAGCGGCCCTCAGATACATGTTTTAGCCGCCTGTGTGGTGGGGGAAAGGACAGTTTATTTTTCTGCCTAAGGTCGGCTCCATGGCCTTTCCTCCTGGGCCTTTGGTGTTTGCAGTTAGCCTGCCTCTAGTGTCCAGGGGATCCACATCTAGAAACGAGTAACGACCAGTCACGCGAAGACACAGCCTGCTGGGAACGGCAGCAGAGATGACGAAGAATGGAATCAGGCCCCAGGGTGTCTAGTATGGTGTTAAAAAAAACCCACAAAAACAAAAAACTATATTTAAAATCAAAAGAGGAAAAGGATGGAATTTAAAAATATGGGCAAGAAACAAAAGCACTAGCAAAAATGACTATGCAAATTTGAGGAAGAACCAAATGTAAGTTTTAGAAAAGAGCTTAACATAGTGCCTTGCATTTAGGAGCTACTTACTACTGTTAGTTTATTGTAAACTAACTGAAGGTGTTCTGAGTTAGGCAAGTAGTTCTCAACATGAAACTTGTGACTTTCTTTGTGGACCTCAACTTTAGAAGTATCTGCTCATACTGTTACCAGTCCAGAGGCCATTTGCCTGATGCTTTGAAAGACCAAAACTCAGAGCATCAGAATTAGGAATAAGGAAGGGCTTTTGGATTGAGCCGGCACCAGTCAAAAAGATGGGACCCTAATAGTTTCTCAAATCTGTCAAGAAAGTACGGCCCTGACAGGTATGGCTCACTGGTCAGAGCCTCAACTCACTAGGTGTTTTGTCACCAGAAAGGGTTGCCCCCCAGTAGATGCAGACATGGCAAGCCGTATGCACACTCGGGCCGGTGTGCCAAGATGGAGGGGTATTTATAGAAGGGAAAAGGAAGTGAAGGGAAGGGGAATTACAGAGCTTTATTATAGGCATAGAGTTCTTCCTGTAGGATTCTCGTGATTACTAGGGTGTGAGAATGTCTGTATAACTCCTAGCTCCTTCTGTAGACCCTCCTGACTATGTTTGCTTAAAGTTCCAGCTAGCCTTTATCAGCCTTAAAATTTATTAACTTCACCCTGACCTGTGTGGCTCAGTTGCTTGGGCATCATACCACAAAGCCAAACAAAGGTCACTGGTTCGATTCCAGGTCAGGGCACAGCACATGTCTGGGTTGTGGGTTCGGTCCCCAGCCAGGGCACAGATGAGAAACAACCGCTCGATGTTTCTCTCCTTCTCTTTATCCCTCCCTCCACCCCCCAAAAAAATAAATAAATCTTTAAGAAATGTACTAACTTAGTTGGGATTAGAATCACCCCTTTGAGACAGTTTCAAGCAGGTGTGATAGGCATTGGCCCATGTGGTTCATTTTCAACAAACCTCAGGATTATCCTGTGTCCCAAAGATCCTGTCTCCACCCGGCTAGTGTCTGGCATTCCCTTTGCACGAGGCTTTGTTTCCTGAAACCCATGATATGCAAATGAATCTGTTAAATAAATGAATTATAGGTCCTACAGGGGAGAATCCAGTTACGCACAACTCCTAAGAAGGTTTATGTAAATGAGCGTATTCTCAGAGCAGTCTCAGCTACTCCCCTCCTCTCTGGGCATGTTTTTGAGTGCCTGCTGGATGCCAGGCCTTGTACTAGCAGGAAGGATGTGAGGATGACTAAAGCATTGCTCCTCCTACCCTGGCTTCACATTCCAACTGACCATTGAGTCTGAACCGTTACAAATGCATCAGAATGAATTACATCTATTATGTCAAAACTGTTGATAGCTTATGAATTTCTGATGAGTCATCTTCAGCTTTTGAAACAGGGTAAAGTACTACAGCTGTGTATGTTACTAAGTGTATGGAAACGTTGGTTAGCTAGCAGGAAAGTAGATACTGTAGTTTTTCAGGCAAATGGATAGGCTAAGTGATCAACTTCTTCATATTACTAATTCCACCACCACAAATCTTTTCAGGACGACGTGAGGCACAGGGTCCACCTGAACACCTTCGGGTTCTTCAAGGACGGGTACATGACAGTCAATGTCAGCAGCCTTTCAGTGAGGGAGCCCGAAGGAGCCACTGACAAGGATGTCACTGTAAGTGCCTTTCCAGGGCCCCGGGCTTCGCCCTCTCCTGTTGCTTAGGTGGCAGCGCTGCCCTGTACTGAAACAAGCAGCACTGGGATGTGGAGAAAATAAAACTTGTGAGCAGACAGCAGATCGTTTTATTTCTGACCCTTAAGTGGTAATTCTTGAATAATTTTAGTAATTAGTGATCCTTCTTATAAAGTGAATGCCAAGAACACGGCGAGGAGGCCAGGCCCAGAGAGCCTTTCCTCCGCCGGGGGGAAGGGGAAACGGCGGCCAGGCACCGTGTGGGCGCTCATCTCTGCCCTCTCGTCCCTCCCAGATCGGATTCAGCCTGGACCGCACAAAGAGTGATGGATTTTCTTCCTATATGGTGAGCACTAAATGGGGACCCGCTCACTCCCTTCCCTGGAGCTCAGGTCCCTGGGCAGGGACGCTCTGCTTCTGTCCTGCTGTTCCCTTGAGGTGGGGGCTGCTTTGACCTCCAGGCATCAAGTCGCACACAGTTGCGCTGTTTGCGATGGAGGCTGGGCCACTCGTTTGCCTTGTTCTCGAAAACTTTTTCTTGCTCTAGTGTGAACGAATAAGGTGATGGATGATTGGGTCCTCCTTTCTTAGGATGAAGATGTGGACTACTGTATTTTAAAGAAACAGTCCGTCTCTGTCCCCCTTCTAATCCTAAACATCTCCAGAAGTGAGTAAGTAATCCTAATATTCCTTCAGTTCAGTCCTGGAGTGAAGTCAGGGGACTGTGGTCGTTGAGCTAACACACATTGAGTGCCCACCATTTGCCAAATACCGTGCGGAGTGCTGGAGACGAAAAACAAGACGAAGGAGACAGAACAGCCACCCCGGGGGTCACCACAGAGGAGGGAAGTGGGGCAGGCAGCTTGACAAGCTGCGGGACGGGGGCGGGGCTTCCGGTAGCTGCTGGCCCGGCCTGCCTCGCTGTGAGTAGGCTGCACCCGTGCCGGAGAAGGGGAACAGCATGCCTGGCGCCGGGCCCTTCCGCACGAAGGCAGAACAGCATGGAGCAGGGTGGTGTGTGCAGAAAAGAGAGGGCTTTCATGCATCGTGCTAAGGGAAGGACAGGAAGGTTTCTCCCCAGGCAGGGCTGGAAGTGCTTCCTTTCAGCTTGATTGTGCCGGCTCAGGTCGCCTGTCCACCCGAGCTCGGAAACTCACAGGCCGCCGGTGTGTGCGGGGCAGGGCAAACAAAAGTGGAGCCTGTTGAGGAAGGAGGAGGGAGGACATGCACTGCAGGCAGGCTGCTGATCATTCCCACTGCCCCTCACATGTTCCCCTACACTTCGCTTTAAGATTTTATTGTTTTGGTTTGTTCCCTTTCCCTTGTACACTAGTTTGTTGAACGCACCACAGATAACTTAGTGGGGAAGTATTTACATCAAAATTGCGTGGTTGCCGAGAATCTGAGCCCTCGAGTGAGATGCCTGGGTCCTTGCCCAGCTCCTTACTAGCCGACTGCTTCTGGGCAAGGTCTCCAGCCTTCCCGAGCCCCCCGTCAGCCCCGTGAGGTGGACTTGACACCACAGGGCTGCCTGTGTGAGACGGCGGATCTGGAGCTCGCAGCGGTGCCTGACGCATCCCACTTAACTGGCCGTAGCATCACTTTGAACTTTTTCCCTTCCATCTTATTTGAATATAGGGTGAAATTAAAATCTCCACCAGAAGCTGGGACCCAGTTACCGAGGATCATCTTCGGCAAGGATGAGAGAGCCCTTGGCCAGAGCCAGGAGGCTGGCGCGAGCCCCGTGTTGGCAGAAGGAGGGACTGAGAAAAAGCAAGGTAAACACCCGGCGGAAACCAGTGGTTTCTTCACTGCCCGGCTTTGTTGGTCCTTTTATGTCCCCAAGGAAAAACAAACATGATCTCAGCATTATTTTATGCTAAAAGGTGTGATCATTAAAGAAAAATGTGGAAAATATGGAGAAGGTAGTAAAAGAGCAATCATTTCTCCTTACTGCCAGTGGTAAAATTGTAGGAATGGATGCTTCTATCTAAGCTTGTTTCTTAAGTCTAGAACATTTGATTTTTAAAATTTATAGTCACGTTTACTGTTTTAAGCATCTTGTTCACTTAAGATATTTTGTACTTATCAGGTATCCTGTTAAATGGATAATGTAATTTGCTCATCCTTTCCCTTTAAGGAGACATATTTTCATTTTGATGCTTATAAATACTGTATTAGACCTATTTGTTCCTAGAACTTTTTTCATATATAGAACTTTTTTAGTAGGGATTTTCAGAACTGGAATATCTGGTTCAAAGGATCTGAATATTTTGAGGATATTGATACATATTTTCAGTTCCTTTCCCAATGAGTTGTGTGAATTTATATACTCCTATCAGAAAGTCTGTGGGAATAGCGCCCATACCACCGTGACCCAGCCAGCACTGGTTATTTGTGTGCGTGCGTGTGTGTTTTAATGCTAAAGTGAAAGGCAAAAAAAGGTATTCTTGTTTTTGTATTCACTATTATTACTAGGCTCTATTTTTTCTCCATATGTTGATTAACCAATTTATATTTATCACCTCTTTTATTAGCTGTCAGGTTTGTCTAATAATCTATATGAGTTCTTTAAAGATAATTTCATATTTATTGTATAATTTACACATTTTTCTAGTTTGTCAAAACTCTAACTCAAGTTAAAGGACACAGAGAAACACCGTGTTTGTACTTGTATTTGTGTGGCGGTGTGTCGTGGAGGGGCTGTGCACCATCTCCCCGCCCACGTTCCTCGGGCCCAGGAACCGTTTCCTGGCCGAGGAGTAGTCTTTTTCTTCTTTCTCTTCTGACACTCTGCCTTCCTGCAGGGAGTTTTAGATCCTGTTGTCCTCACGAAGGGCATCTTAAGTAAAAACAAGGACCACGTGCCCTCTGTGCCCCATGAAAGAAGGCAGTAACAACCCTAACGCTTCTTGCTGTAGAAAAAAATGTGTGCATTCTGCTAATATTATTTGTTAATTTTTCCATGTGTGTAAACAAATGTCACGTATATTTAAACAGTGATCTGTTTTCAAACGTAATTACTTAGAAAATCAGGAAAGTTCATTCCACAAGGCATCCCTGGCAACAACGTAATGCTAGATTATTTAGGGATGAGTTCCCTGTTGGTACTGAATATTATTGTTTTTCAGATCTTATTAATAACATAATAAATTTTGGTTTGCTGCTTTTGCAGCTCAAGAATTATTTTGGGATCTAAACAGATAAGCTATCCATGACTTGTTTGGAGTGGCTCAGTGGATTGAGCACTGGCTTATCAACCGAAAGGTCACTGGTTTAATGCCCAGTCAGGGCACAGGCCTGGGTTGCAGGCCAGGTCCCCGGTTGGGGGCATGCAAGAGGCAACCGGTCACATATCTCTCTCACATCAATGTTTCTCTCCCTCTCTTCCTCCTTCCCTTCCCATCTCTCTAAAAATAAGTAAGTCAATCTTTAAAAAATAAAGAGATGGCCATCCATAAGATAGCATATGGTTTCACCTTTGTTGTTTGAATTATTTGATATTAGATAAGCGAGAGTCTCGTAAAGTAATAATGTAATATACACATGAGCTGAATCCTACAGTAACGCCTTTCAATATTTCTGCTTCTAGAGGATGGAAGGTCTAAAAGAAGCACAGAGAATTCAAAGGTAAGAATCCCTCCGCTTGCGCTCCGCTTCCCGAATGTGTGTGTATGTGTGTGCGTAGATGAATGTGTTTTTATGCATACATGTACACAGGCACACACACGTGCACATTCCTAACCCACAGGGAGCTGCCCTTTCTACAGGGAGTGCTCTTCTGTTTGGGGATAAGAAGTTGACACAGTGACACTACTTTAGAGTAAAATCGAGTGTTGAGTTCAATAGGCCTTATGCGATGGTGAGCAGAGCGGGGAGTGAGCTCCCTGGAGAATCCCCAGGGCCTGAAGTGCGGTCGACTTGAATGAGTAAGGGAAGGAAGGGCACAAAGACTGTCGTAAGCAAAGGCTGGAAGGGGAAATGAGCGTGACAGGTGCTAGGCGCTGGCCTACTTGGAGTGAAAGGGATGTGTTTGGGAGCAGAGAGGGTAGGACCCTAGACATTAAAGAGCCAGCTGTGTATGCTGCTCCCCGCCCACAGTCGCTCAGTGGTCCCCTCGGTTGTGAGGTTGACTGTCGCAGTATCGCAGTGCTGTGGTCCAGTCCCCCTTGTTTTACTTAGTGGCGGCCCCAGAGTGCAGAGTAGTGATGCTGGCAACTTGGACACACCAGAGGGGGGCTTCCTTGGCGCGAAAAGGTGAACATTCTCAACTTAATAAGGAAAGAAAAGAACTCATAGAGAGGTTGCTACGGTCTATAGTAAGAACAGATCTTCTGCCTGGGTTGGTGTGGCTCAGCGGACTCAGTGCCAGCCTGTAAACCAGAGGGTCACCAGTTCAATTCCTGGTCAGGGCACATGCCTCAGTTGCGGGCCAGGTCCTCAGTAGGGGGTGCACGAAAGGCGACCACTCATTGATGTTTCCTTCTCTTTCTCTCTCTCTTCTCCTCTCTGTAAAAGTAAATAAATAAAATCTTTAAAAATTAAAAGAAAAGTAAAAAAACAAATCTATCTGTGAAACTGCCTAATTTATAAATTAAACATTATCATACATAGGTATGGGTGTTTGAAAAAAACTTAAACATAGTTTATATAGGGTTTGGTACTGTTTGCAGTTTCAGGCATCCACTGGGGGTCTTGGAATGTACCCCTGCAAATGAAGGGGGACTGCTATCTGTAAAATGGCAGTATGAGCCCTGACCAGTGTGGCTCAGTTGGTTGGGTGTTGTCCCACAGAGTGAAAGGTTGCCAGTTTGAATCCCAGTCAGGGCACGTGCCTGGTTTGCAGGTTTGGTCCCCAGGCAGGGCACGTACAAGAGGCAACTGATCGATCCATTATTCTCTCTCACATTGATGTTTCTCTCCCTCTCTTTCTCCATCCCTTCCTCTCTCTCTCTAAAGATTAATTAAATAAATAAATAAAATCTAAAAAAATAAAATGGCAACTTGATAAATTTTGTCTTACATACACACCTGTGAAGGTACCACCACAGTCAAGATAGTGAACATGTTCATCCCCCCGAAAGTTCCTCCTGCTCCTTGGTCCTGCTCCTGTTCCCAAGCAACCACTGATCTGTCACTGTAGATTGCTTTTATAAAACTGTATGCAGATTGATGTGCAGTGCGTGGTCTTTTGTGTCTTCTTTCATTCAGCATAATTATTTTTCATTTGTGTATGTTGTTGCACACGTCAGTAGTTCTCTCTTTTCATTACTTCACACATTGTACCAATGGCAATGAGTTGATCATTTGAAATCGGGAGTGGAGTCCAGGCAGCTGAGTAAAGGAAGTGGGTGAAGAAGAATTAACATTCACTGTGAAGGGGGATTGCAAACATCTTGAAAGAATGGCAGATTTTATTTTCAGGAAATTTTTTTAAAGATTTTATTTATTTTCAGAGAGAGGGGAAAGAGGAGAGAAAGACAGGGAGAGACACATTAATCGGTGGCTTCTCACATGCTCCCCAGAGGGGACCTGGCCTGCAACCCAGGCATGTGCCCTGACTGGGAATTGAACCAGTGACCTTTTGGTTTACAGGCCAGCACTCAATCCACTGAGCCACACCAGCCAGGGCTCAGGGAACTTTTAAATATTTATTTTTATTAGCTTACTTTTTCTGCCAGTGTCCTAAAACAGGTTGTTAATGTCTTTTTAGGTGATGGAAGAGAAATCTTTTTCTGTTCTTAATAAAGATGGGGCAGTTTCATTTCAGGTATGTATCTTCTTTGAGTAAAGCTCTGTAGAATTTATCTCTACCATGTAAAAGGTGAATTTTTAAAGGAATTTTGAATTTAGGGGTAATTTAGGCATGCTGTATGTCTGTCACTTAAATGCAATAGCTCTCTAACAGCTCACAAGGTGGATATTATCACTCACCATGTATCAAATCATATGCCTTTGAGAATAAATAACTACACGAATGTCCAATATAAGTGACGAGGCCCAGATTCCGACCCAGTCCAGCCTGGCTGTCCCCACAACGCCGCCGCACCAACCCTGCACTGCCTGCCATTCCGAGTGCCCCGGAAGCACGGCACTGCGTGCCTGACAGGGCCATTGGCGATCATTTAGGGTGATGCTGTAAATTTGATGAGTTCACTGAGACTCAGGCCTCAAGTGACCTACTCAGCTGTCACCATTATTGGCTGCACAGGAGTGTGTGTGACAGCGTTGCAGCCTGTGCCTACGGTAGGACGCTGGACGGGGTCCCAGTGCTCACTTATTGGCCGGTGGCCTTGGACCACTCACTTCACTTCTGAATCACGCTCTTTACTCATCTAAACATGAAAAATGTTGGGACCTGTCTCCTGGGGTTGTTAGGCGGACCATTTTTAAAACATAAAAGTGCTCTGTAAAGCACTATACAAAAACTTTTATTATTAATTTGTAAAGATTACTGCCTCTTGTCTAACCAGTTTTCATTAATTGGTGTATGATTTGCTTCAAGTGAAATGCACAGATCTTGAGTGTACAGTGCGAACAGTTTGGACAAATGCATGCCCCCGTGTAACCCCTGCTCTGTCACGGTTCCCTCGACTTCTATCACCTCGGGAAGTCGCCCCCACCCTGCGTCTGCTGTTCGGATTTCTCTCACCATGGTTTCTTTTGCCTATGGAACAATTGTTATATGTCCTTTAAGCCACTAGGCTTTTGGTATTAATAGCCAGCTGACAGCTTGTGGGGCAGCCGCCTGCTCTGAACCCTCAGCAGCTTCCATCTGTGTCAGAGCGAAAGCCCAAGCCCTCCCACGGGTCTGCGAGCCCATGTGGCCCGGCCACTGTCATTTGTCCTCAGCCCCTGAGTCTCGGCCCACCCCCTTGCTTGCTGTGCTCCAGGTACACGGGCCACCTTGCTGCTCCTAGGAACGATCATGCCTTAGACTCAGCTTTAATGGTACCCACTGGGAGGAATGCTTGTCCCTCAGAATCCTAATAATTGATTTCCTTCTCCTTTGCGCAAACCTCACTTCTCAACAAAGCGTCCTCCAGTCTCCGTGTTTTATGCAGCCCGCTCCCCTTCGCCCTCCCCAGTCTGTTCTTTGCCCCTAGCACTTCTCGTTTCCAGCGTGTGTAACTGTTCTAATTTATTATGCTTATCATCAGCCTCGCCCTTTAGAAGGTCACCAAAGGGCACGGAGTTTTTTCTGCTTTACTACTGATGTGTATGAAGTTGGTAACCTTGGACCTGGCCCGTGGTAGGCTCTCCATCAGTAATGATGGAGGTGAGTGAGAGAACGCCAGGCATTGTGCAAAGTGCTTACATGTTATCGTATCTCAGTTTATCCTTCCAACAACTCTATGAAGTAGGTGCTGTTATTATTCCCCTTTTACAGATGAGGAAACTGAGTCTCAGAGAGGTTAAGTAACTTGCCTAAGGGGAGGATTCAAACCCAGGTTTTTCTGACTCCAAGGCCCATGTGTTTAACCACTTTGCTTTACTACCTCCTTAAGAAAATACAAAAGGTACTTTTTCTCTCTTTTTTCCCTCACTTTAAAATGCTTGTTAATAAAATAAGTGTTTTGAATGTTATTTTTTAAAAGCCTTTTAAAAAAATAATTACAAAAGAAAAGCATTATAAGGTATCTACGCTTGTCAGGTACAGCGCTTCGTGTCCGGGCGTCCGGGGAGAGCAGCATGTGTACTGATTGGTCGGAGGGGCCTTGGGAGGCATGAGGCAGGCAGTGCCGGGACAGCCTGCCTTTGTCTGGCCTCCCCTCCTGGGACAGGGGTCTGTGTGCTCCTCGCTGCTCTGCTGCCCAGGGTCCTCCCTGTTGGACAGTACAGTCGCGCTGCGCCTTTCTGCTCCGCCCACAGAACCCGGGGGGATCGTTCATCCCCCCAGCGCAGGAAAGGGGCTGTCAGAGCTTATTTCAGCTCTAACATTGACATTGTTGCTTTATTTTTGTTTTTATTTTCTCTTTAAGGATCAGGTGCCTACTCTTATCTCCTTAGTGATTTCATTGATTTTTTTGGTTTTGTTTTGTTTTAGTATTTAGTATTTAGAAACTTCTTATGAGTCTTACTCTGAGAACTAAAAGTTACTAATATATTTAGAAACAGTTTATTTTTCTGGCTACCTTGTGTGGACTAAAATACATGTCTCATGTTTAAAAGGATGAGTTTGGCTTAAGAGATTAATAATTTCAACTTGAATATTCTTGGCCTTTTATTTTCATCTTGTCAGAAGGCTCTTCCCCCCCACCCCGCAACCTCCCACCCTTTTAAATTATAAGGTATAGTATATATACAGAGAGTGTTAGTACCTGTGTTGAATACAAACAGTTACAAGTAGTAACATTTTAATCATCATCTGCCACAAGAGACGGAACAGGGCTAGCACCCCATAAACCAGTGTATGTCTCCCACATCCCTTCCCAGCTCTAGACTAATCCTGACTGTGAAGAATGGTAGAATTGAAGCCTTGCCTTCTTTTATAGTTTACCATCTGTATATGAGGTCTGTCTGGAAAAAGTCCAGCCATTGTTAATATGATGAGAAGGGTTTGCGTGACATAGATATAACCTGGCAGCCAAGGAGAGTGGACTGGAATGTGCATGTGTGAACAATGACAGCTTCACTGTACTAGTCATTGGGGAGGGGCAGTAGATGCCGTTGAGTGAGCATGTACTGTGTGCCTGTCACATTCTAAATGATGGGGTGAGTAGAGCAACAAGTCTGCATCAAATTTTGCCTTAAGCTTCATCCTCGGAAACTACTCGGGTGATTCAGGAAGCTTCAACTATGGGCAGCTTCATCATAACAATTCACCTGCTTGTGCATCATGTCTTCTGCAGAGTTTTTTGGTGAAACATCAGATCGCTCAGGTGACTCAGACCCCTAGAGCCCAGATTTGGTGCCCTGCAACTTCTGGCTTTTCCCAAAACTAAAAATCACTTGAAAGGGAAGAGATTTCAGATCACTGATGAGATTCAGGAAGATAGGACAGGGCAGCTGATGGTGATTGGGAGAGCTGTGTGAGGTTGCAAGGTGCCCACTTTGAAGGGGACTGAGGGCTCATTGGCCTATGTACAGTGTTTCTTGTATCTTGTATCTTCTTCCATAAATGTCTCTATTTTTCATATTACATGGCTGGATACCTTCCAGACAGACCTCATACATAGCCCTAAACAACATATTTTAGGCTTATAATAAAATGTTCTCTAGAATAGACCAAAGAGTCAATTCTGTAATCTAATATGTATAATGTTTTTTGACTTACATTAAACTTCATTTGAACACATAAAATATATGAAAAACAGGAAAATGTCTGAATATAGAAAATGTAGCATCTGTTACTGTCTTTTATAATCACAAGTGTACATTTTAATGAGGGAATATTGGTTGTTTACCTTGTCAAGTATCAAATGAACCTCCTTTTTCAAGAGTATTTTTAACCTAAAGAACAAAATAATGTGTTGCCTCGAACTAGATAATTCCATCTAAGGTTATCTCTGTAGACTTCTGCGAAAACCCATCCCTGATGGAGAGATGTGTGGTAGAGCAAGGATAGTGAAATGTTCATTGTGGAATCTAGGTATTGGATATGTCAGTAGTCACTATATAATTCTGTCAACTTTTCTGACAGCTTGAAAGTTGCTATAACTAAACATTGGGAGAGAGTCATAGAAGAAGAGAATATGCGTGTAAACTGCTCTGAGAGAATTTGATTTTTTTAAGTAGTCTATCTTTTCATAATAATGTTCGTGATTCCTTTCTAAGACTTAAAAATTTAGCTGAGGATTTGGGTACCCTTTAATTTTTTTCTTCTTCACTTTCAGTTTTCCTTTAACATCAGCACCAATGACCAAGAGGGCCTCTACAGTCTTTATTTCCATAAATGCCCTGGGCTTAAAACACAGCCTAATGACAAGTTTTCATTCAGCCTTGATGTGAGTACCGTATGGAGACTGTTCCACGTTAGCTTTGTGAGCTATGTAAAATGGGAGACATTTATTTCTCTGTAAGAATGGGTTTTAAGAACCCTTAAGCAAAGTGAAAGAAAGCTGTGGCCAGTGGGCAGGTACTTCAGAAGGGGATTCATAAACAAGAAAATAGAAAGCATTTAGGATGTGTGTGCATTCAGCCCAAGCACAAAGAATGTGCCTGTTAATCTGCTGGTACTCATTTCTTACACTTAAGTCAGGTAGCTAAGATTAAAAATTGCTGAATATGGAATGATGTGTTCCTGGAAAGTAAAAATTAACTTCCTGTCGGTTTCAGATTGAGATCATAGAGAAGAATCCTGACAGCTACCTCTCAGCCGGAGAAATTCCTCTCCCTAAATTATACATTTCTATGGCCTTTTTCTTTTTCCTTTCTGGGACCATCTGGATCCACATCCTTCGAAAACGACGGTAAAGTACTGCTACCTTGAGCACTTCAACTCTGAGGGTGCTGGGATTTGCCAGCTGTCACCCTTCGCTAGCTTCTACCCCGGGAGGCATGGGCACCAGCCATCTTGTTCCCTTCACAGGGCATCTTCCCTGAAACACAGGGAGACTGGGCAGGCGCTTTGCATGCCTTGGTGTTTGCTCACTTCCCATTGCTTTGTTTAAAAGGCAAACCCAGATATCTCAGTAATGTACAGGCAAAATGAAATGTACAACCTTGGTGTTTCTGTAGCGAAGAGACCACAGTGCAGGACTCCGAGTGAGCAGTGGGCCCAGCCGGGGGCTCCTTGTTCGTGAGAGGCGGCGAGCGACAGCGGCCCGCTGCCTGGGTGAGAGTGTGAGTGCCTGCCTTGGACTCGCGCACACGGCCCCGCTCAGGGCTGGGCTGGCAGAGCTGCTGGCCTTCCGGAGCTCAGCGCGGAAGGCAGCCTCTTCAGAGCCCCTCTGCCTGCTGGTGGCCTTTCTGCTGAGGCCCCTGTGGCTTTCACTTCCTGTACTTGGCTCTTGAGGGGACCAACTGCATATATGTAGAGCGAGTGCTGAATTGTCTCTCCTCCCTCACAAGTTGTCAGTTAAAGGACAGTGTAAAGTAATTGTTGTAGGATAAGGCTCATAAACGAAATAAATGATGGTATGTGAATACGATACTGTAAGATGGATTGATTTAAATGTATATAATAATTAAGAATCCCAAACACCTCTTCGTCCGGAGCGTTGGGCAGAAGTTGATACGTCTTCCTCTCTAGTGGCCGGTGTGGCAGTGGGCGTGCTCAGCCAGGGAGCAGTGGCTGGCTCCTGTTTGTTGTAATATCCTTTGCACCCATCGGGCGGAAAGAGCTTTTTGTTTACCTGTGAGGGACTCTACATAATCGTGCTTGCACTAGATGAACCGGTAGCCATTAATAAGAAAAAAAAAAGAATCCTACAAATTTAGGACGTAAAATGGCTTTCTTTGTTTTAAAAGAAAGTTTTGCTTTTGCCTTTATTAGAAAAGTACAAACTAGGAGTCTGAGGCCCGATTCCGAGTTTGAAGGCTGACGGTTACCGCCTGGGAGCCTTGCTTTGTGCTAAGCCCTCTTCCTGGGCTACAGAGCTGGGACGGTGACCGTTGTCCTGGCTTCCTCTGGGAGTCTGGGCACCTCAGGTGTGCGTGTAGCAGAGGGCTCGCACTTCGGGGTGCTGTGCAGCTACGGGGCACATGCCAGCCAGGTGTTCAGGGGTGTTTTACTTTCCCTTTGGTGGCACAGCAGTCACTGCCACTGGCTCACTTCTACCATAAAAGCTGTGGCAGCAGTTTCAGTCCTGCAGTTCCATGAGGCCGACCTACACCATGTTTTACACGCCCTGTTGAAGTGTAGTGTGCGCGCACAGCGCGCACCGAGCCCTCCGCCCCGTCCTTGTGCTTCCCTGCCAGTCCCACGGCCGGTGCGAGACGCTGGGAGTTCAAGTTGGGGAGAGGACGTGGCGCGTGACTGCTGCTCACGGCCCCTTCGGCTGGAAGGAATTGAGAGGCCTTGGCCCCAGTTTACTGGGGCCCTGGGAGGGGAGGGCGGGGAGTGCGGTGGCCAGAGTCAGCTCACGCTGTGGCTGGACCCCAGGCCTCCTTGCCACGCGTGGGTGGCTCCTGTGCACTCCGTGCTGTCTTCTCTCGTGGGCCCCTGGGCCCCGGAGCTTGGGCAGCAGCGTCTAGGCAAGTGGAGGAACTCTGGCAGCTGGTTGTTTTTGAGTCAGGCGCTCGAGGTTGTTATTTCAGCAGACCTTCCGACAGCTCCTTAAGGTGGATAGGTGTTGCCCCATTTTCAGGGAGGTTACTGAGGTTTAGAGAGACGAAGGTCCTCAGGGTAGACCAGTGTCCGAGCCAGTTCAGTGTGGCTTGGGAGCCCGTGTTCTCTCCGTCAGCTCTCGGCCCCGTGGGGAGGTTCTAACCGGGACTGCAGGTGGAGGTTGCTGGGGTGTGTGAGCGAGCCCCGCTCGGGACAGTGGGCAGTTTTGCCCTGTGAGTAAATCTCATTGCTGTTCAGTAGTGACGATTCTGGCCTTGGCTTCCTTTTTTTTTGACTGCAAGTGGTTGGGCACCGGGACAGGAAGTTGCCAGGGAGGAAATCATTCCGGAAACTGAGCGAGTGTCCGTTCAGGACACACCCTCCCCACCATTCTCCCAAGGCCCGCTCCTTCGGTTCCCTTCCTTTCCTAGCCGTCTCTTATCCCTTCCCAGCTGCTCAAATGTGTTTGATACATGTTTGTGGATATTTCTGCTCTCTTTAGTAATGTTTATTGATGTTGCATGTACTTTTAATTTATTTAACCTGTACTTATCTCTAGATATTGCTGTTACCATTTTTCACACAGTAATAATACCTGTCCTGTTGATTTATCTGTCTGACGCTGCACCGTCCACAGTTTTTTACTGCTCTGGCTTTGCAGAGTGTCTTGATATCTGAGCGTGTGAGTTTCCTCTATGGCTCCCATCCAGGTCTTTGTGAACTTAAAATAGAGCCCTACCCTTTTCTCCATAATGGTCTTGTGCACTCTATTGAGGGACGTGCTGGGGGAGGTGGCAGCGGGTAGAGGAGTTCAACGCCCAGCGGCCCCAAGGTGGACATTTGCCTGAGTGAGTGCGCCATCCCCTAGCCTGCTGTGTTTGTCAGGTTCCAGCCGTGAAGGGGAGGGCTTCCCCCTGGCCTCACACCGCCTGTCCTGGGCTCCACACTCCCCCTTCCGCTGAGCCTGCTCACCTCTGCTGTCCTGGGGGTTTCATGCGGCCATAGATCCAACCACCTCACACTTCTGTGGCCTTTCTGGGTGGTTTCCAGGGAGGGAGCCTGTTCAGGTTTGCATGTTACAGGACCCAGAATCAATCATGCCTTAGTGCATGACTCAGTTCCATCCCCAGCGTGGACTTGATGGTGGAGGCGACTCCAGGACTCCCTTCAAGGCCTTTTCTACTACAAAGTCTGCTTTTTAAAAAAGGCTTCACATTTGTGGTTTGCTTAGATTCTGTTTACTGCCTCCATGTAAATAAGTCTGACGCCTGGAGCTTTGGCTGTCCTTTGGGAGAATGGAACAGTTCTTTCATGCCTTTCGTTCTGTTTTTATAGGAACGATGTATTTAAAATTCACTGGTTGATGGCGGCCCTTCCTTTCACCAAGTCTCTTTCTTTGGTGTTCCACGCAGTACGTATCAGTGTTGGGGGGCCATTTATGAAACCTTGTGCAATGCCTATGCAATCAGGAAAAAGCAGTTCAGGGAACAGGGGTAGGCCCGTGGAAGAAGATGAAAGGATGCCGTTTCCATGAACGGTCATGGGCGGAAGACCTCGCAGCCTCCCGACCCCGGGTGGAAGACACCTTCTGGTAGTGGCTACAGGCCCAGAGCTCTCCTGAAACACTGTTTGTTTAGCTGGTTTTGGTCATTTCTTGAGATCAGAGCACCACCTGCTGAAGTGTCTCCAGGACTCCATTTTTTCCGCAAACATTCCCTCGTGTTCCCCTTTGATTTGAAGTTCAGTGGTAGTGTACTTATTTAAGAGAGAATTGACATTTTGCAGATTGAGGCGTAAAACTGAACTGAAGCTTTGAGTGCTGAGTCCTGATGTGAACTGACGGGGCCTGCCTGTGGGCGTGAGAGCGCAGGCTCCCCGTGTGTCGGCCTGCGTGGCGCCGACCGGGGCCGTCTCTGGACGCACGCTCTCTTCCTGCACTTCAGAATGTTGTCCCGGAGAAAGTGACAATATATCCAGTTACAGTTTCAAGAAGTGACAGTTATTTGGATAATTTTTTTAAAATTTTTATTTATTGATTTTTGAAAAAGAGGAAGGGAAAGAGAGGGAGAAGCATCAGTTTGTTGTCTCACTTATTTACGCACTCACTTATTGGTTGCTTCCTGTATGTGCCCTGACCAGGAATCAAACCCACAACCTTGAGGTATCCTGACGATGCTCCCACCAACTGAGCTAGAGGGCCAGGGCTTGGATAATTTCTTATTTGGATCAGAGTTAAAGATTTTTTTTCAGGAACCATAAAGATAATGAATGATAGGATCCTTGAGTCACTTTACTATCTAGGTAGTCATTTATGATCAAATGAAAGATATATAAGAAATTAGTATCACCTTTGTGAGTTCTGCCAGGAAGCATTTTAGGTGCACTACTGAAACTGGCCCCTCTAATTCAAATGAGGTAGTGGCTTCAAGCAGCTCTAAATTTACAGGGTTTTTTTTTTTTAAAGAAAACATAGTATTCTAAGCTGGGTAATTCCACATAGATTTTTTTCTTTTTTAAAACTGGGTGACTAATTAACTTTTATAAGCCAAGTATGAAAGATAAAGTTTTTGGTTGGATACTGAAAAGAACCTGTGGCATTTGAACCTTAGAGATTTGAAGGAGCCATCGGCCAGGGTGAATCAGCAGCCTCTGGAGCGGGGTCGGGGCTGCACGTTAGGGACACTGAGACCTGCGTCAGGTTTCCCAAGGTAGCTGACATTGTTAGCGCACTTCCATGCTTCATCATGAGCTGACTAGTGAGTCATTAGATACCCGCCACCCTGGGGTCCTCTGGTGGCATTTCCTGTTGGACTGCATTGAGGCGGGAGGCCCGTCATCGACCTGACTGAAGTGCGGTTGTCTGATTGCAGATCGACTACCACTACATCTCCACCCAGGGCTTTCCCATCGAGGGCTGGGCTGTGGTGTACTACATCACCCACCTGTAAGTATGCGAGGTGACTCGTGATGCACTCGTGCTGGGACATGGCAGACAAGATGTTGGGGAAGCGGTGGCAGGAAGAGACCTGCCCCAAGTGGATGGGCCCCGCCCTCCTGTGGCAGCTTGTCTGGGTTCCGGCCATGCCAGAGGTGTGTGGCATAGGGACAGCTGTCCAGACTTGAGAACTCAGGGCTGTTGACGTGCCCTGGGGGTGTCGCCTCCTTGTGGGGACTGGCCGCTCAGGTAGTGGGGCGCATGGCTGACTCTGTGGGCCTGGGAGAAAGTGCTGGCCCTTAAGGTGAACTTCCTGAATTTGGCCGCCTGCCTTTTGTAAGCCTGGGCGATCGTGGAGAGAGCCCCAGATTCTGCCTCGCAGGGTGAGAATGAAGAGGCCCACTTGTGCGTGTGACATGTTTTCTTTTTCAGTTTGAAAGGGGCCCTGCTGTTCATCACCATCGCGCTCATTGGCACCGGCTGGGCTTTCATTAAGCACATCCTCTCTGATAAAGACAAAAAGATCTTCATGATTGTCATCCCACTCCAGGTAAAGGGACCCTCATCCTGCCGGTTCTGGTTCTGGCTTGGCGCTTAGCGGCCCAGGCCTGTTGGAAGAGGGGTCGGCCCACCCAGAAAGCCCAGCAGCCGCCATCGGGGACTCCGCTGCCGAGTCCTGACAGGCCGAGGCCGCAGGTCATCACGCTGGGACGCGTTTGACCGTCAGTCGTCTTTATACCGGCAGGTGGACGCCAGCGCTGCCCGCGAGCAGAGGCTGTGCCAAGTTAGGGGAAGGTGCCGCCACCTTTTCTGCATATGTTTGCCATGCACCCAAGTAGTCAGTCCCCTTTGCAAAGAAGCGCAAGTTCATAGTGATTTTTGTTAACCAGTTATTTTAAAACCGTGAATGACACCAGTGAGTTTCCACAAGGTAGAATATCAAGCAGACCTCAGGGGCAAACCTTTACGAAACCCTTCCTGTGTCGGGGGCCCTGGGCTGAGGCCAGCCTTACAAGACTGTGACCCCTCAGGAGAGGACGCTTGTCTTGTGAGAGACAGCAGCCTCATGGGGGCCGCCCTGGGATGGAGAGCGCCCTCACAGACACAGCGGTCGCAGCTGGCATGCCCGGCCGCTCTGCTCCACCCGAGTGCGTCCAGCGATAGTTGTTCTCATCCGCTGGGCTCATTTGGGAGCACAGTGTGTGCGTGGCAGCTGAGGGCTGGGGAAGGACAGCTCCCGAGGCATGCAGAGCAGCCACTCAGCTCCGGGGCTGGGCGCTTTAGCAATGCTTCACTTTCGGTCACATGGGGTGCACATTACTGCCAGGCAAATGGTCAGAGCGGTTGCTGAAGGTTTCCAAGGAAAGACTAAGCACCCACATGCGAGTGGTGTGGAAGGCAGTGTGTGCGGATGGGCCTTGCCTAGGCGCTCAGGAGGGAACGGTGACAGAGGCCAAGAGTAGTAGCAGAAACGTGTGGTGCCACTGTCCAGTGACCAGAGGTGCCAAGGGCTGCCCGCCAGGGCCGCTTTGCCAGCCAAGACCTAGAGCCCGGAGTGATGGTTCTGGTCCTCTTCCCGCTTTGCCGCGCTGCTGCCTGTGTCCCTCTCCCCCCAGCAGCTGTTGCCATCCCTTCCGTGTGAACTTCTCCGCTGGCCTGAGCTGCGTTATGATAGCCGCAGCCTCCCCAGCTCCCCGCTTGCGTGCCCTGGAAGGGTGACACCCAGGGTCACAAGGCAAGTCTCTCCAAGGAAACAGGGCCTCTAAGAAATAAATGCAAGGCAGTTGCGTGTTCTTAACCTAGGGACTGGACTGGGAACCTTCAACAGCAGCCTGAAAAATTCAGGCTGCTGCTTTTTGGCCACGGGGAACACTGCACATTTCTGAGTAAGAAGCGAGAGGTGTACAAAAGGGAGTTTCAAGAACGTTATCGTGGCCCTGGCTGGTGTGGCTCCGTGGGTTGAGCACCAGCCTGTGAACCCAAGGGTCGCTGGTTCGATTTCCCGTCAGGGCACATGCCTGGGTAGCAGGCCAGGTCCCCAGTAGGGGGTGTGTGAGAGGCGACCACACTGACATTACTCCCCCTCTTTCTCCCTCCTTTCCCCTCTCTAAAAATAAGTAAGTAAAATCTTAAAAAAAAAAATTATTGCATGTTGTTCCACGTCAGCACCTCGGGACATTTTGTCTCTTTTGTCAAGAATATAAACTAAGGACAAGATGCAGTTGTGAATTTAAGCTTTAAAAGCCTTTGTTTTCCACTGTGCCCGCACAGAGCCCCAGGTGCAGGTGTTTAGGGCAGACCGGGCCCGTGGAGGAGCCCATCAGCCCGGGGTCAGCGGGAGACTGCACGCGTACTAAGTGAGGTGTGGCTGTGGTGAGGCGTCCACTGATAAGTCCTAGGTAGACGGGAACCACGCTGGAGACCTCCAGCAAGAGCACAGTGGAGTCACATGCTTTGTTAAGGTGTAGAAGACGACCATTGCAGACAACAAGTCAGGTGGAGCATTGGGGAGCATGGCCTTCCTGTGGGGACGGAGGTGGGACTAGAATCTCGCATCCATACCCATTGTAGCTTCAGAAGAGCGTCTCGGAGACATTTCCCTTGTGCTGAGTAGTAGCACAGGTGTTCAAATGCGGCCATCTCAGTTTAGCCAGTGGCAAACTGCCCAGAGCCTGCTTAGAGCCTAGTGACAGCGCTGAGCATACAGGCGGAGCCTTACCTTTGGGAACGGGAGCAGAACACAGCGCAGACGCGCCACGCGCCTCCGTGGGAGGCACCGAGCTGGGTCGCATGCAGAGAGGACCTGGACTGGAGTTAGTCCTGGGAGGAGCCATGAGGCTCCTCGGCCACTGGGCTGAGGTCGGCCATTCTTGCTGCCCTGGTCTCTGATGGCATTGCGTGGCACTTGGGAGAGAGGCTGTCGCTGAGGAGCCCAGGTACCCCCAGAGAGAGACCTTGGACCTGAGGAGTCTGGGCAGCGTGGCTACACAGGCCATAAAGCGCAGCGCCTGGGTGAGGCAGCCGAGGCCTGGGGCGCCTGACGAGCCAAGTGTCCGGGTCAGCCGTCGCTGTGCCGCGGGTCACCCTTAAACTTAGTGACTTAAAACAACAGCCGTTTATTCTTCTCTCATGGCCTGTGTGGGTCAGGATTCGGGAGTAGCTGAAGTGGGTGGGTCTGACTTGCTGTCTCCTGTGGTTACAGTCAGACTGTGGCCAGGACTGGGGTCTCCTTGAAGCCTCCACTTTCTTCTCTGGGCCGGGGAGACTGGGTCAGGTGGGGCGGCACGGCTGCGACTCCTCAGGACTCCCTCCCCCCGCCGCCTACACCCCCTGCCCCCGGCCTGGTCTCTCCATCCTGGCCACTTCGGGGCAGCCAGGCTTACTACAAGAAGGCCCAGCACCCCAGAGGTGTTCCTCGAGAGAGCCAGGCCTGGGCTGTGTCCTTTGTCCGACCTGGGAAACCACGTGGCGTCACTCCCGCGGTAGTCTGCTGGTCGGAGCAGCCACACGTTCAGGAGCGGGGCTCAGAGACTGCATCCTGGTGGGAGAAAGAGGGAGGCCCTGCAGGCCCCAGTGTCTAACCCCTGTCGCCCCTGCTGTTGTGGGAATCTGCCCCTGCTCTGGGGACGCACCAACTTCTCGTGTCCTGCAGGTCCTTGCCAACGTGGCCTACATCATCATCGAGTCCACTGAGGAGGGGACAACTGAGTACAGCCTGTGGAAGGACTCTCTGTTCCTGGTCGACCTGCTGTGCTGCGGGGCCATCCTCTTCCCAGTGGTGTGGTGAGTGCCCTCTGCGGGGCGCGTGCCTCGAGGCTCACCTGTCAGGCGCAGCGGCTCAGCCAGCCATTCCCAGCCCGGCAGTCACGCGGGGCGTCTGTGTCAAAAACACAGCTTTCTGGGTCCCAGACTAACCTGAGGCAAGGTCCCCAGTAGATTCTGATAGAGCTGGTCTGGCGCCATGGCTGGCTTTTAGCACAGCGTAGGCAACAGAGAGGAGTCTGGACGTGAGAGCTGAGCAGCACGTGAAGTAACATGGGTTTGGAGAGGAGTTGAAGAAATCCCATAAGTAGGCTTATGAGGAAGTACATCAACATAAAACTAGTGATGACTCTCAGCACATAAACATTTCGCTGCCTTCAGAATGGTTTGCCTTATTCCTGGAAATGGCAGGCTTCAGATGCAGAGATCGTAGAGGAGTGTCAGTGCCAAGCTAGTGGCTGATGAGAGACGATGTCCTCAGTAGACCTCGTGCAAAGGGGGGGAAAGTCTTGGCTCAGGGGGAAGCAAGTAGAGGGGAAAAGGCTCACAAAAATGAAACGCTCTCCCTTAGTCATCGCCTGTGTCTGTGGCGACTTGAAAGCAGTTAATTCTTTTGGAATAAATTTTTAAAAAATTGATTTACTTGCTTTCTATTCCACATTGCCATGCCTTGTGTACTTAATATTTTTGAGAATCCTGAGTTCATAGGTCACTTGTTCTGATTATTTAGAACATGTGCCAAAGGAGCGTAAGCTTTATTCCAGCCAATTAGATGCTCTCTTACCCCTCATTCCATCTTATGTCATGCGTGTGCGCACATCAGTTCAGCAGAGAAGGTACAGGCGAGATTTGTAAGCTCTGCCGCCTTTTCGCCGCCTGCCCAGGAGTAAGTACACGCAGCCCCTCTGACGAGATGACCAGCATTGTCTCCGAGTAGAAAGAGTATCCTGGGAACATTTGAGGTTGTGTTTCCTAGTATATGTCATCAGTTTGGCTCAAGTACACGCATAAAAATTTAAAAAAAAAAGGGGGGGAAGAAGAAAGAAAGAGCATCCTGTCATTAGAGAACAGAGTCAGGCTCCCCTCACACCTGCCACTCAGGGAAAGAGGAGGGCTGGGGCCGCTGGGGAGGCCCAGACGGCTCCGGAGCTGTGGGCCGCCGCTTCCCGCCGCTTGTGGATTACAACCTAACAAGCCAATGCCAAGTGGCAAGACTCCTTTAAGGTAAATATTCTGAAAATTGCCGTAAGATGAGAAAATCAAGTACTAGAGAGAAGATAGAAGAAGCAGCCACTTTTGGACATGAAATACCCAGTATTTGGGAAGGTCATAGATGGTCTGGAGACTCTGGCTGAATGGGAGAAGTTACCAGTAGGTGAGAAGACGTATAGGCCTCTCAGTGATGAGCACACGGAGGATGTGACTGTTCAGGCCAACTCCTTCGCTCCGCAGCTGTAAGAGACTTGGACACACACTTGGCCGACTCCTTCAGGAGCACCCCTGTTGTGGTTTCCCTGGCTGTAATTGCGTGAGAGGTTGCATCGTCCTGCTTGTTCATAACTCAGATCTTCTGAGTGAGTGGTACCAAGGGGAGCCAGATAGCTTTTACTGCCATGTGTTAACTGTTATCCAATGTATTTGTTTAATTTTTTTTGAAAAACTATTTGTTTAATTTTTGTTACTTAAAAACATTTATTTTTAAATGCTGAGCCTAAAATCAGTCATTTTTGAGCACCGTAATTAAAAACACCTACTAGCCCTGGTTGGTGTGGCTCAGTGGATTGAGTGCCTGCCTGCAAAACAAAAGGTAGTCAGTTCGATTCCCCATCGGGGCACACGCCTGGGTTGTGGGCCAGGTCCCCAGTAGGGGGCATACGAGAGGCAACCAATCGATGTACCTCGTGCACAACAGTGTTTCTCTCCCTCTCTTTCTCCCTGACTTCCCCTCTCTCTAAGGATAAAAAAAAAACCCAAAACTCCTACTGTATCTTTAAAAAACAAAAAGATGTTCCGATTCAGCCACCATTGATTCAGTGTTGGCTTTTCGATGTTGCTTCTGCTTTGCTCAGTTCTCCCAGGTTGGCAGACGGGGGAGGTTTAGGAGAAATGGCTTATTCATGGTCAGGTGGAAAGTGGTGGACACGTTAGGGCTCCGGGCCGGGCCGGGCCTCCTCCTCTGGTCCTGTGGCTGCCTGTGCCACGCTGGCCTTTAAGAAGGGTTTTTCCCTTGGTGCCTTCCAGCTCTACCCCGAACTCCGCTCTGCAGCCTCTTTAGTAATGCTAATGTCCTCCTGCCTGCACTGTAATGATGGTCATTAGTTACCAGCACGTCGCAGCCAGAAAAAAGACTCCCTGGAGGCCTGCATTTTTCAGCAGTTATTAAATCCCTAGTCAACGAAGGGCTGAGTTTGCATGAAGCCACATGTTCCGGGCTCCTAGACCCAGACTTTCAAAGTTGCCTCATGGGGTCCGCTCCCTCCGGGGAGCAGGTGAGCCCAGGGACGCTCCACTGCCTTAGTGGTGGGCGGGGGCTGAAGCAGGAGGAGGAGGAAGGAGAGGTGAGGGAGGTCAGGGGTGTTTCTTGTTTTCTCACACCCAGGCCCTGCCAGGCTTCTTTGGGTCAGCAGAGGGCACCTTGAACTCTCAGGCCTGAGCACTGTGCTTATTCAAGTGTCCCTGTCAGAGTCATGTGGTCAGGAAGAGAGTCTAAATCACCTAGTTTAACCCTTTATGTTGATAACTGAGGAGTTAGAACCTCAGGTGACTAGCCCTGGAAATGAAAGGAGTGCAAATTTGTTAGCTAACCTTTGTTCTCCAAATGTTTATTTTTTAGGTCAATCAGACATTTACAAGAAGCATCTGCAACAGATGGAAAAGGCAAGTTCCCTCACGCTCTTTTCGTGCTCTTTTTGTACTGCTCAGCCCTCCCTGTGGCCATGTGCCTGGGCCCCGCCCAGAAGGTGGAGGGGGAAGGGTGTGCCTCCCAGAGCTGTTTGGGGGGGGGGGGGGGGGCTGTGCTTGGGGGAGGAGCCTGGGGCTTTGTGAGAGCAGCAGGGGCTGTTTGGTGAAGAGGCAGGTGGCAAACCCAGAGGCCTGCTCTTTGAGGGGGTCTGGGGGTGATGGCTGCTTATTATAAAATGACTCCTGTCATTTCCACTCCTGAGCGTGACTTTCACCTTCTCAGAACTGAGTCAGGAGGAGGAAATCTTGTCTTAGAAGGACCAGATAGCACCTCACTGCGAACAGGAGGTACCGGGCTGGGCCAGCCATGGGTAAAGCATCCCTCCCTGCTGACTTAACGCGCTTTCAAAATAGACGTGTTGGCATTCATTTAAAGTGACCCTGCTGCCAGAATGAACCCTTAGAACGCTGATGTTTTTTAATGGTTGTGCCATTAAAACTCTTATGAATCTCCCTGATTTTCCAACCATGCCTCTAAGGCAGAAAAGAAGCCCCAGCGGGAGTGCGCTGTGAGTTCCTGGGCTTATTTGAGTGAAGGCCATGGCTGCAGGCTGCCCTGGTGTCAAGGGGGACCTCAGGCCGCAGGGGCGGGGCAGTGCCCTCAAGGGCCAGAGCTGCCTCGGGTCCGACTGCACACTCAGTGCCGGTAGCAGCGTTCTTCGGGGCAAATTTCTCACTTGTTAAATGTAAGTTTTCCTGCTGATCTGTGTTCTGATTATGAAAGTAACGTGGATTCAGTTTAGAAAAGTTAGAAAACAGGTAGTTGGTACCAATCTCATTTCATACCTGTTACGCAGTTAATATCACATTATTTTCTTTAAAGGGACTTAACCCCAACTCCAAGGCTCAGCTCCCCGGGCTCTTAGAGGAATTCGGGAGCATTCCTGGCTCGGGCTGCAGTGGTTCCTGCTGAGGTAGCTGCTGTCAGGCCTGTGTAACGCTCTTGCTCGGGGCGGCTGGCGTGTGGGGGCCCTGCCTCGACTGGGAGCCCCCGGCAGCGCTCCGAGGCCCGTCCGCCACGGCCGCCCCAGCAGCCTTCGGCTGGCAGCCTGGCTCCTCCGCCTTCCTTGGAGCTGCTACTGCTCTCAGAGGGCGCGCCCTGCCACCCCCGCCTTCTGCTAGTGGGGTGAAGGAAAACTGCAAAAAATGAAACACAAAGTAGAATTTTAACAGAGCAACTTGACACAAATAGAAACATCCAAAGAAGGAAAAAACCCACCTTCTGGGAATAAGTATAGTTTGGAGATAATGCTTGTCCTTTTTTTTTTGGTCTTTTTCAATGTACATTATAAGATCTATTATTCTTGTAACTTAATGAGTATGTCTCTTATTATATTGAGGTGAGGCATTTTACTTGTTCATCTTTACACATTTCGGTATGATTGCAGTATTTTTGGAGTAGTTTTCTGACTGGCTGAAAGTGTTTGAGAGCCCCAAGGGCACCGTTTGAGGGATGCTAAGTTTGCTCTGTGCTTCGCCTCATCCTCCCCGCTCCGGGAGCGCTTCCCGTCCTTCCGCACCTCCTGCCCCCTCCTGGCCCGGCTGTCTCTCTGCCTGCTGCACTTGGAGGGCTCAGGGTAACTGTCCCTGTGACCGTCTGTCCCACAGGAGGCTGATCGTTAGCCAAGGGCTTAGTAACGCTGTGGTGAGGCGGACGGCACAGCAGGTGACGCCGAAGGGGGGGTCTTAACTGACCCCCAGCATCTGTAGTAAAGAGAACCTTGGTGGAACAGAAGTGCTGTGGTCATCACCAGGGCACCTGAGGCAGTTCCTCGTTTGTTCCACCAGGTGACAGCATGGGACCTCTGAGCAGAGAGCACACCGGAGCTCTCCTTCACCAGCCTCAGGATGACATGCTGTTAAGGAAGCACCGGTTTCTCATCAGCAGTTATCGCGAACACTTTGAGAGGGAACAGAGTAGGTTAGCAGAGGGGTGTCTTCGTGATTCATGTGCTTTCACTGAGGTGACTTAGGCCATGGAATGCATTTAAGCTGATCTGCAAGTGCACATCTCAGTCCACACTTTGACAAATGGTTACGCCTGTGACACTTCCAGAGTCAGGGCAGCCTGTTCCCGAGGCTGAAGTCTGCCCTGCAGGGAACACACAGGGGCAGCACGCCCCCACCCCACGCCCCCACGCCCCCCACCCCTGGGGAACCAGCCTCAGGGTGGCTGCAGGGCAGAAGCCAGGCAGTCAGGAGAGCTGGAGCGAGCCCGTGGCTGACTGACCGCTGGTTCCCAGCTGTCTCAGTTGACCCTTTGCTCCCCAGCTCGTCCCCTCTGAGGTCTAGCCCGTCCGAGAGGCAGCAGCTGGGAGAGGGAGGACCATGGGGCAGTAAGGTCTCCTCCTGGATTCGGAAGCAGTTTGCTGCGTGGAACCTGTGCTGAGGCTCATTATTCCACTGACCCATTGCGTGACCTTGACCCTGACCTGGGCTTACGACTCAGTGTCAGTGTGGTCCAGGCCAACTAGTAGCGGGGGCGGGGGACACCGCGCGTAGTAGTTCTCCCCGCGTCTGGGGCTGTGCGTGGCTTTCAGCGGGTGTGTGTGTGGGTTTGTTTACTTCTTTGTGTCCGAAGTCCTTTTGCCTGAACCTGAGGGAAACGTTAAGGACGATGCTGCCCACGGCCCCAGAGCTGTGTCTTTGTCTCTCTCGTCACACGCTGGCCTCTGTCCGGTCCTGTCTGTTAGAGCCCCAGTTACGCTGGGTCCTCGGTGAGGAGGCGCGGCAGCCGCGGTGCCACCGTGCTTGCCCGTGGCGGCCTGCCGCCGGTCCCGCCCTCGCGCCTGCATCCCACCTGCTGCTGCTCCAGTGCCATCGCCTGCCAGGGCGGGCGTGGCGGTGTGCGCTGCGCTCCTGACTCACCGTTTCTGCTCCTGATTATCTCGTTTCCCCTGTGTTTCTGAGGGAAACGTAAAGGTTGTTTTCTGAGGAATTTTAGCCTTTATGTGAGTGAGCTTCAGAAGCGTGTGAGCGGTGGCAACTGGCCGGTGGCAGGGTTCATGGAGGGATGGCCTCGTTCTGAGCCACTGTGGCCGTGAGGATGTGGCAGCACGGCAGTTGGTTAAAGCTGTTTTCCTTATGCGACCTCACCCGCCTTGTTTGCTGTTGACATTTGTACCGATGGGACCCAAGTGGAAGGGATGAAACAGCCGGCGCCTTAGCCTGGGTCGGGCAGCGGCGCCCAAGTGTAGGAGCGGCCCTTGCCTGCCCCATTGCCCCTACTAGCAGGCGGGGCAAGGGCTCGGTTCAGGGGTGGCCTTGATGAAATGGTAGAAACTAGGCCTCTTTCTTTGATGCTTTTTTAAATTTATTTAAGATATTTTTCTTACAAGGCAATGCACAGCCTGCTTAAGGGTAAGTGCTCGAGCCTGGAGCTTCTGCAGATGGGAGGCGCGGAGGTCGAGGGCAAGTCAGAGCGGCTGATGCCGTTTGCGCTTTGCCATCATCCTTGTTTCTTCCATTTTTGTGTTTGACGCAGAAGTCCCTCCGCAGCATGGCAGGGAGAAAGCAGGAGAAAGGCATGCTGGGTAGATGGGGATGTGTTTAAGCCTCAAGGCTTTCCTTACACCAGGGAAGGATTGTTTTGGAAATTTTTTACCCCTTAAGTGGCTGCTGTGGGCCTTTGGTCTGTGTGTCCCATAAATCATTTAGGATTAACTCCTCAGGATGGATTGCTGGCACCTCCTGGGCATTGCCTGGCGTTTTGAACCACGATCTCTCATCTCCCTGAGCGGCCAGTGGATTACAAAAGCCGTGAATTGCCTTTCTCTTAGTGCAAAACGTAGGCGGTGAGAGCTTGGTCCTTGGAGGGATTTGGACTGGGCTTGAGTGCTGGCTTCTCCATTTATAAGCCATGTGACCTTGGTAATTTACCTCTCCAGGCCTAAGCCTATCACCTGTGAGGCGGAGGTAATAACGCCTTCCCTCACAGAGGCTGTTGTGAGGCTTACGCAGATGAAGCGTGGACAGTGGCCAGCCCAGTGCCTGGCACATGCTTAGTGTTCAGTAGGTGGTGAGGAGCGGAGCTCTTGTCCTTCTCTGTTGTCGTGGATCCAGGACCATCAGGGAAGTGTGCTGGGGAGGTGGGGACGATGGACAGTCAGTCTTCTTGCCAGCCTTCCTAGCTGCTCGAGGGCTGGAGGGAAGGCGAGAGTCGGGAAAAGGGCTGGCGCCCTCTCTGGACGGGGCGCATGCTCTCTTTTGCGGCTGGGTCGGGGAGAGCGCTGACTTGTTAAGCATTTGAAAGGGCTGGGCTCTTTCTGCCTCAGTGTGTGCCTGTGCAAGACTCAATTACACTTCCTCTCAGAGGACACCGAGTTCTGTTCTGTCAGTAAAAAGCACTTGCCAAAATCCGGAGTCCTGGCCATTATTTTTGAGAGCGAGCGGGAGGAGGAGGGATCCCGCCGCAGGAGGTGAGCCTGCAGCAGCTTCTGAAGCAGGTGTATATGCTCTCCCTCCCTGCCCCCCTCAACTCCCTGGGAGGTTTTCCAAAACCTTAGGACTAGGGGCTGCCCGGGCATTGCGCTAAGTGAAGCTGCCCCCGGGGAGGGCCACTGTGAGGGAGAGACCCTCCTGTGGATGAGGACACCGACACCAGAGAAGGAAGTGCCTGGCCCGGCCCGGCCCCGGTGCCTGAGTTACGAGGGTGCACGGACTGGAGCTGAGCTCTCCTGGCTCCTGTCCGAGGCATTTTTCCTCTTGCCATGCTCATTCTTTGACCATATTTGCTGTTCCTCACGGCAGGATCAGAAATAGCCAGCCCAGACTTGGTGAGCCTCTTACTCCCCGGGGCCCAGCCCTGCCGGGGCCAGCGGACAGCAAGCTATCAGTGTTCTGAACTCCAGGGAGAGCTTTTTTGGAAGAAAGCTGGGAGGCTTGGGATTCCAGGCTGCTTCCTGCTGCATCACTGCTCGTACGTTTTGCTGCCCGGCGCCGTGGGCTGGCTGACCCGTGTGTGCAGTTGCCTGCGGCACCACTGCATGCGGGAGAGCCAGGCGCTCAGGTGGTCCCCAGGCCACTACTTGTTCCAGGTCACTTACTGGAGTCCGGATTTCCGCTAGAGGTGGCAGCCACTGTGACGCAGCATGCGCCCCGTTTGGTTTTGGTTAATACGATGTGGCCCGGGGACATGACATCGCCATTCCCCAGTGCTTATGGCATGCTGCCTGCACCCCAGTGGGAGGCGCTGTTATTCTCGTTTTACTGGTAAAGAGGCCGGCACTCAGAAACTGAGGTCCCCTGGCCGTGTAACCCCAGGTTAGGAGACTTACCTGAGGTCACACAGCCAGGAGGCCGCAGAGCAGGAATTCGAACCCAGGAGGTTCAGCTGTGCATGGCCTGCGCCCTTCCCCCCGTCTCCCACCGCGGCAGGTAGGCCTCCTGCCTGCCTTCGCTCCCTTGGCTGTGGTGAGGGTACCCACGTGGGACCCCGGAGCCCGGTCCATGGCCCGCGGCCTCGTCAGCAGACGTCTCACATGCGACTGGATATATTGTCTGTCATGACCAGTAGGTTTGGGAAACAACCATGAGCTCTGCTTTACTTTGGCTTCGTTTCTTAGACACAACCCTGGTCATTCCCAAGGTCCGTTCATCAGTCCCAGCACGCGTCCTGGGGTGGCATGATATCGGTGCCCGTGCTGACAATTTCTCATGGGTACCGGACGTGAGTGTGCAGGCCCACCCTAGAGCGGGTCACGGCCTGCCTCACTGCAGTGTTTTGCCGCAGGCCTAGAGGTGATGTGTTGATGCATGTGACACCAGGGAGATGTTAGGACAGCGCCTTCCGCTGCCCGCCTCCCACTGCCCACATCGTTGGAACCCCTCTGCTTTCTTGCAATCCTCCCACCCCTGCTTTCCTGCCCTGTGACGGGGAGAGGGCCCATCAGGCTTCCCCTGAAGAATCCCCTCTGGTCTGCAGCTTCGGCACCTTGTCCTTCCATCTCCCAGCCAACCAGCAGGGCGGGGCCAGCCTTGCTCACTGCCCCGCCCACTGCTGTGCACTGAGAAGAAATACCTCACCACCTTTTAGTGGACCTCCACACATCTGAGGGCTTAGACCTCAAATGAGCTCTTATTTTGCTTCCCTCCATCCTTTCTCCAGAGAGATTGCGCTAAAATGCACGTGTGCCCAAGACACTGTCCTGTCTCAGACTCTTCAGGGGTCTCTGGGGCCCTGGGTGTCAACAGGGAGGCCAGCTGACTCGGCTTTTGACCTTCCTCTCAGGCCAGCCCGGCTCCGCAGCCCCTCCCTGCCTCTCCATGGTCCAGCCACCCTGAGCTGCTCTTGTCCCTGGTGTGCGATGCTGGCTTGTGTCTGCGGAGCCTTTGCACCTGCTCTTCCCGAGCGTTCTCTCCGCTCAGTCTCTCTGCTCTCACTCCGTCCTGAGCCCCGCTCAGGCTTGTGCTCAGACATCTCCTCCTTCGGGGACCCTCTCTCACCCCTGTGCCCCAGGGCTGCAGGGGTAGGATTCTGTGCGCGGCCCTGCAGCCATGCCTGTCCCCTCAAGGTGCCCTGAAATCGGAGTAAAAGCGTGACACCTCTCTCTGTCGAGCGATGGGTCTTGGCGAACCTTCAAGGGCAGGAGTTTCATTAGTCAGGATTTATTTCAACAAGCGAAATTCAGAGGAGACTTTTAAAGCATTTTTGTTATTTCAGTGGTCTAATTGTTGGTGCTGTTATTTCTCAGTTCCTCACAAATAGAATTGTCTGGTTCAAGAACCGTTTTGCTTGTTGGGGGGGCCACGGTCCCTGCGGCAAGCTGCTTGTGTGGGCAGAGTGTGGTGGGAGCGGCTGTGTCATTGGCCACTGCTGGTGGGCGTGGGAGCCGTGCGTGCACGCAGACCCACGCGCAGGAGCGAAGCTTCAAATCCTTGGCAACTCGGCCACCCCACACTTCGCAGCTTTACTGCTGGGTCCTCAAGGACCCCTTTCCCACCCCCCGACGAGGAGGAGGACCTGCTCAGGTCCCGTGCTTGCCAGGCGCTCGGCGTGCTCTCGGTATTACGGGGAGTGAGTGTGCCGCTCGGGGTTGGGCGACTTTCCTGAGGAGCGGCAGCCACCCTGGGGCAAAGGCCATGGCCGCCATGGGCCCTGCTGCACCTGGGGGCGGGTCCGGGGTCAGGACGAATGAAAGATGGCTGAGAACCCGAGAAATTCGATTTGTAAAACCACAAGTCTACAAGAAAAAGTGCTGGAGTGGACAGCCTTTGCTGGCCCGTGTCCTTTAGGGAGCTTCTTCACGTGTTGCGTGCTTCCTCACGCCCATGGCCGTCTAGACGTGGCAGTACTAGCCTCTCACTTTGGGGAGCTGGAGTTTCCTGGGAAGATTTGCTCATCTTCTCATTGATGTGTTTGGTTTCTCAAAAGAGATTCATACAGACACTGTTGATAATCATCTTGAAAATTATTTAGGATTCAAAGGATTTTTTTGGAATCCTCAGCTTGCGTGTCCCCCACTAGCTGCGAGGCAGCGGGAGGAAGAGGAAATCTGAACCTCCACCACCCCTAGGCCCATCCTTAAATGGAGCCAGTAATTGAATGCTATTAAGCATAATTAATTTGCCTCCTGCAGGAAGGTTTATGATGAATGAAAGGATTGCTAATTGGGGAGGGAGCCAGGCTACCCTCTGCGGTCATCAATATTTCATGGTCATAGGCGGTGGCAGGAAGTTAGCTCTCCTGGCTCCCTGACCTTGAGCGGTCATGACGGTAGGACAAAGCCAGAGAGTTTGAATTTAAAGGGCTTGTAGTGAAAATCTAAGGGAAATTTCAGTTTGCAAGATGCACTGTGTTAATTGAATTTACACCCTGAACCAGGGGGAGGTTCCCCCAGAAAGAACTCAGAGGCCCACCTGAGACGGTCCTAGTAGGGGGCTCAGCGCTGCCAGCCAGCGGCAGAGCTGAAATGCGTCACGATGGCTTTTGGGAGGCGAGGGGGTTCTGATTTGCAGTGCCTGCCGGTTTCCGTGGCGTCACTGTGCCCTCAGCGTGGCCAGCCTGAAGCTGCCGAACCCGGGACTGTGGAGATAGGCGGGTTTGCCCGAGAACTGGAGCAGGAACCCCCCTGACTCTTCCTGGTGGTTGGGGGTGTCGTGGGGGGGGGGCTGCATTTCCAGAAATGCAGATGTGCCCCGGGCGCTGCTCAGTGTCAGGCGGCACCCCCTGACTGAGATGGTGCCTGAATGCCACCTGCTCTCCCACAAGAGAGGTTAACCAGCCTTATCTTGTTCTCTCTCCTCCCCAGCTGCCATTAACTTAGCAAAGCTGAAACTTTTCAGACATTACTACGTCTTGGTGAGTAAGACAACCCTGAATCTGTAACTAAGGAGCAGAGCCCGTGGGCGCCCGAAGGGTGGGCGAAAGCGGGAGATGGCACCCCCGGGGCTGCGTGGGCCCCGCCTCGGGACAGATCGAGTCCTCGCCCATGCGGGACTCGGCGTGAGAGGTGCTTCTTGTAAAGCTCAGTTTTAAGTTTGGCTTTCCATCCTCAGAAAAGCCGTACCTGCTTGGTATTTTTAAAAGCAGGTTTGTAGAAATGTAGAGAGCCCCAATCCTGTGTCTCCTGCCCTGGGCCACCGGTGAGCCGTTTGGTGCTGACCTCTCTCGAGTCTCTTCCAGGCCTAGGTGCTCCGTCAGCTTACTTTTTAAAAAATTCACTTACAAAAATGGGGCGACACCTAAAAACAGGACTGGTATGAATATGAAAAGTTCACAACAGGCATTAGCACCAAAGGCGGGACTTACTATAAATTATTAGGAACATAAGTTCTTGGAGTATTTAAGGTCTGGGCCTCCTAGAGTTTGCTTTCTCGCTCCTAAGAACGTTTCTGAGTCGCCTTCCATCTGTGCTTTTGGCACTGACTGCCACTTGGACGTTTTTTCCTGCGAGCCTGGCCCCCTGGGCGTGGTCCCCGTGAGCAGGCCGCCCTCGAGTGGCCGACGCACTGCATCCCCAGCCTGTCCTCCCTTGTTAGAGCGCGTAGCACGGTTGCTCTCTCCTCTCTGCGGGCCTGGAATGTCCCAGCGTCTGCCGAAGAGACTCAAAGTCAGTGTTTTCCCTGTGTGGCTTTAGTTTGCTATTAGTGACTGGAAAACATTCCTCCAAGTTTGGGAATAAGAAAATACTATCCTTTGGGGACTGAAACCGATGGGTTACATATGTGGATAGGGCAAGGGAGAGGTTACTCAGGAGTCGAGAGCAACTATAGCAAAGTGTTTTGCCCTTGCATGGGTATGGCTGCTACCAATGTGTTGGTTGCCCAGGGAGCAAGAAGAGATCTTTTTAAGTATAACTTGCAGAGTAGCCATCGCTCTGCCAGATTTATTACTGGCACTGTAAGTGTCAAATCACTTTCTTCAGGTAGTTTGTTTGAAAGCCAGTTGTTGGAAGAAAGTGGTGCCAAATGTCTATGTTGATTTTATTTCTTGTTTCTTTCCTCTTCGTATAGATTGTATGTTACATATACTTCACCAGGATCATTGCGTTTTTCCTCAAATTTGCTGTTCCATTCCAGTGGAAGTGGCTCTACCAGGTACGCTACTCACGGGCACAGCGCCAGGGAATATGTGTCTGGGCCTCTAGCAAGGCGGCTACAGTTGATCTGGCAGTGGCCAGTAAGACCTCCGTCTCTCCTGCTCTGCAACTAAGGTCCCCCGCCCAGGAAGGCTGCCGACGGCCTGAGAAACCTGGAAGCAATCGTATCATTGACTTTAGTGTTCAGTTCAGAAAGCCTTTGAAGAGGGAAGCCTCGGGCAGAGGGAGGAAGGCTTACTCTGTGCAATTAAAACCCAGATGGGACGGTCCTCTCGGTCCGTCACAGGGTGAGAGCAGCCTGGAATCCAGACCTCCCTTCTTCTTTGCCCATTATTATTATTGCTTCAGTAACGAAGCATCTTTGCAGTGTGCTGGGACTGGTGTAGCTGCTAGGGGAAGCCATCGGGTGGGTGGGAGGCTTTTTTCTTAACGGGCGCGTTTGAGCTGTGTGGGTGCATCACGACTCTTAGGAGACAGCAGTGAAGCCTTCAGCTAAAGCAAGGGGCATTGGGTGTCGTCTCTGGGCAAGGCCCCTCGCTGGGGCTTCCACACAGCCTCTGGGCCGAGGGCTCTCGAGCAGCCAGCCCTTGGGGGCGGGGAAGTGACCATGGAGTGCGGGTGGCCGGGGCTGGGGGGCGGGGGGCGGGGGGCGGGTGTTCCTGCTGTTGGTTCCACAGCTCTCTGAAGAAGAGTGTCGCTCACCCCTTTGCCCGGGGCGGTTTCCGTCCGCAGCTCCTGGATGAAACGGCCACGCTGGTGTTCTTTGTCCTCACCGGGTATAAGTTCCGCCCGGCGTCAGATAACCCCTACCTGCAGCTTTCTCAGGAAGATGACGACCTGGAAATGGAATCTGTGTAAGCAGTCTCCTCCCTCCTCTCCCACCCTGCCCCTTCACTCACCTAAGAGCAGCGCGGTGCCAACTGCAGCCGCCCCTCCACATGCGTGGCTGCGGAGCCGGGGCCCCTGTGTTAGCAGGAGGAAGCAGACGCTGCTCCCAGCGCCTCGGCGGCAAGGGCGCGGGGACGCACAGGGCCGCCCACAGCGACTAAGGATGGGCAGCCTCTTCCTGTCGGGCCCCTGCCGGGGGAGCCGTGTCTGATAAGTGATCGTCCAGTTCATCTGTGTCTGCTAGTTAGGGTCAAACGTCCTTTGTCAGCAGATAACTGAGTGGCGCTTCACAGCTAACACAGGGCCTTGACCTAAATCTGAGTGTGAAAACAGACTTCTCTGAGTCACAGGGTGAGGGACTCTGGGGTCCTGTTTGCTGGGAAAGGGCGATCATTTTCTAAAGAAGTGAGCAGTGATTAAGACTCTTTTGCCTATTAACTGATGAACTCTGATGGGCCGGGTCAGTTGTTTTTTGATGATGAGCCCGAGGCTGGGTTTCAGTTGCACCCCCTCCAGTAAGGCAGCCTTTGATGGTCCCAGGTCCTGGCCCCGCTGGGCCCCGCGGGCTGTTGGGCAGGTGGGGCAGATGGGGCAGCAGGGGCCGCTCTTTGCGCTCAGCCCCACTCTGAGAACAACACACGGGAGGCAGACCCCTCGTAGGCCCCAAGCAGCACCACCCTGTGCAGAGGAAGAAGTGTCGTTATAGACCGAGGAGGGAGAGGCAAGGGAATCATGAAGTGTGCCTTTTCTGGAAGGTGCAGAGTCTGCGCAAGTGACTGGGCTGAAGAGGCACAAATGAGAGCCAGTGTGGTGAGCAGCAGCGTCAGGAAGGAACCTAAGGCCAGGTGTCTCTGTCCATCCCTGCTGGAGCCTCTGGCTTGTCCCACACACGTGACAGCAGGGTTCCTCCGGGGCAGGCAGCTGGGGGCCAGATGGCCGCGTCACGGCGTCGTCCACTGGCTGAGTTGTGCTCCACACTGGCTGTACCAGTGGGTGTTCTCCCCAGTCACGTGGGAGTGCCTGTCCCCACATCCAGTCTGTCAGCCGCTGCTCTGGAAGTGTGGATGCATTGTGAAGGTGGTGGTGTCTCTTGGTGGTGATCTGGTTTTGTTTCTTTCTGACAATATTTGGTGATTTTAGCCAGAGGGTCTGTGGTTGGAAGTCAGGAGCGAGGGGAGAGGGAGCAGCAGACAGACCACTGGTCTAGAGGGGACCAGAGAGGGTGTTCTTTATTCTGCAGGGTCCTTGAGCTGCCTCAGTTTACCCCGCTGTTACAGAGCAAGAGCGCTCTGATTACACTGTTTTCAGTGGTGTCATGGGAGCCGCTGTGTGACAGTGAAGTGGCTTCCTTTTCGTGGCAGAAAGGCTGCATGTGCAGCCACCAGGGAGAGGGGCACGCACGCCAAGTGGAGATTTTGTTCAGGGTGGCGGCGCTCGCAGAGAGCGCTGTCCCAGGGGAGCGCGTGCAGAGAAGCGGAGGAGCCGATTGGGGTTATGTGCCTTTGAATTGGCAAGGAAGTTGTTCCAGTGTTTCTCTTAGCCTGAGATCTGTTGAGAAAGTGCTGTGACTTTCTAAGATGGGACAGAGCAGAACTGGCCTGGGACGGAGACCCCAGCCCTTAGCCTGCCTCCACGGTCGCTGGCAGGTGAGCGCAGAGGCTCAGTGCGGCTTCTCCGGGCCCCTGCGAGCTGCGGGCTGTCCTCTCCCTCTTGCACTCCGTCGTGCTGTTCCTGGATGGCACCCCTAAGTCCTCCGCAAATAGCCTCACAAGGGGCGGGCAGAGCTCTTGCCTGGGTGTTCAAGAAGGTGCTGAGCTCTCCGCCGTCCCCACTGCGGGGGGTTTCCTGAAGAAGGGAGCTAAGTCTGACCCTTGTCCCAGAACAAGCACCTCTGTGTGGAAAGTGACGTTCCTTACGCCTCACCTCCCAGAACAAATCCATGCTCTCCCTGTGGCGCCTCACCCCTGGAGCCCGAGTCTGGACCGCGGGGATACCGGGGGTGCCTCTTGCGCCCGCCCCCACCACCTCCACCCGCTGAGGCAGCACAGCCTGTGGGGGTGGGCCATGTGCTGGGGGTGGGGCAGCCCGCAGGGTGAGGGGACATGCAGAGGGGACACTGGTGTGCTGTCGTTTACTCCATCTTTCAACATCTCTCTCTGGACCAATTTTGGTAACAAAATTTGTCATAAAAAAAATTCAGCATGTTAAAAAGTGTTGGCTGTGGTTTCAGCGCTCAGACTCTGCAGCTGCCTTGTATTCTGTGTGTTTCCTGGATGATCTGAATTATTTCTGTCGTCTTGAGGTGTGCGAGTGGGAAGAGACGTGTGCTGTGGGTTCCAGGACCGGGACCGGTCTCCGGGATTTTCGCTGGGTCACGCCATCCCCCGGGTGGCCAGCCGCCTCCGTCCCTCCGGCCTTCGCCCGTGCGGGCTGGCACCAGCAGCCAGACAGAGAATCGGAGGCTCACGGGAGTGCCTCCTAGCCAGGCCACTCCGCATTGCCTGTCCAGAACACAGTTCTTTATTTGGTTTTAGTTTCTGGTTTAGTTTGATTAAAGACATAGGTGTGTCCAGGGGCCACCTCAGCCCAAGCCCCACACGATTGCGACGGGTGTGGCAGCGGGAGCAGTGGGTGTCTGCAGCCCCGTCCTCCTCTTACCCGTGTGCACGAGGCCCTCTGGGGTGCGAGCACAGGCTCAGGCCTCTGCCAGGAGAACAGGGCTCCCCACGGAGGCACCGCAGGCAGGTGGGGGGCAGCCCAGTCCTCGCGCGCTCTCCACCCCTGCCCGGCCCCCTGCCCGCCCCCCTGCCCGGCCCCCTGCCCGCGCTCTCCGGCATCTCTCTGCTGCACCTTCCTGTCTGCCCTCCAGAGGCTCTCCTGTACTGACGATCCCACAGAGTGCACTGCCTGGCTTAGCTCTGGGGCCCCTGGCCACAGCCCAGTGCCCAGGCTGCCGGCCCCTGAGGCCGGTGCCCTGCAGGAGTCGGGAGGGGCTGCCCTGGCTCGGACAGGCACTCCCCAGAGCAGGCACTGGAGGCGGACAGTTTCTGCTGGAATGGGTGCTGGGCCAGCCCGGCCACATGCCCCAGGGGCAATGCTGGGGGGCACCAGCTGGAGCAGGAGCCCTGCCTTCAGGGAGCCCCTCCCCATCTGCTGCGGGGACAGTGGGACAGGGACAGAGTATAGATGGTGCCAGGGACAAACGGAGAATAAGGCCCCTGTCCTGGGGAGGCACGAAGGAGGGTAGAGACACGTGCCCACTGACAGCCACGCCGCCTGGCCTAGCCTGCAGTAGGGACCAGGGCCTGCATTTGCAGAGAGTATCTCTAGTGGTCAAAGAACCTGGGCCCAGAAGGTTCCTCACGCCTGTGATTCTGCCCCATGACTCAGAAATGCTCCACTGTGGCTGGTTACTGTAAATGCAGTGGATTCGCGTTCTTTTCTGAATGTTGATTACAATACACATGTTGGTCTCATAATCATAACTAGAGTATATACATGAACGTAAAAATTTGTGGAGGCCATGACAGAGACTACTGTTGGCTGTAAAAGTAACTTAAGCTGGCGTGTGGCATGTGTTGGTTGGGCGCTTTGGGGAATCCCATTTTTCCCTCATGATTGTCCTGGGAAGTAGGAATTATTTACCTCACCGAAGCACAGAGAACTCAAATGACGTGACCCACGCCACACAGCTGGCCAGCCAGGGGCAGGTCAGAACTCGAACCCAGTGCTGTCGGGTTCCCGAGCCAGCACCCCTCGCCACCCCCAGGACTGGCTGTGGAGGAGACGGGCTTGCTGCACGCCTGACGAGTTTCTCTTTTTTTCCTTGTTCAGCGTGACGACATCAGGGGTGATGGAGAATATGAAGAAAGTCAAGAAGGTGACCAACGGCTCGGTGGAGTCCCAGGGCGACTGGGAAGGCACCGCGTGATGGAGCGCCCGTGAGGCCGGCCCGTCAAAGACGATGTGTAATTTATTGCGAGTGCTATTGGCGAACGAGGGCAGACAGCCCCTCCCGACGGCGACACCACAGCCACATGGCTGGGGGCAAAGTGCCAGGGAGCCTGACTTTTTACTCACTCTCTGCAGAACCTGGTTCTGCGGCTGGTCATAGGCAGCTGGGATTCTCCTTCAGGTGGGACAGCGGAGAGGGAGTGTAGCCTGGAGGAGAATAAAAGGAAGACTTTGTTTTGATTTTTTATATATATATATACATATATATATATATTTTTAAATTGGGAGCTCTTAGGGTATATGCAGTGTGACCCGTCCCCCCTGCCCGCCTCAGGAAAGGAGGGGCGGTGGGTGCGGAGGAAGGCAGGGTCTGTGTCTGCCTGGCACTGCGCGGGGCTTACAGAGGCGCAGAAGGGAGAGGATCATTGCAGCTTTGGGGGACAAAAATGACTATAACTAGGTTATTTTAGAAAGCAAATTCAAAACCCGATGTGGTATTTGAGCCTGCCCCAGGACTCCTGTCCCTAAATGTGGCCTCAGACCTTTGTCCCAGATTCTGAAAGGCACCAGGAACCAGCAGCTCTAGGACCCGGTGGTCTTCTTTCAAAAAGGGCCTTGTGTCTGAGGGCTGCCCTGTCCCTGGCAGGGTCCCTGGCAGCCCTTCCCTCCTGGTGGAAGGTGGCGGCCTTGACTGAAGGGTACTCAGCGTTGCCTAAAGAATGGACAGAAATATATTTTTAGCTCAAAAAGCATCCTGTAGTGTTCCCTTGCACATCCCGGGGCAGCGCCGCCTCTCGTTTGCCTCTCTCCTTGTGGCTTGTGTCAGCTTCGTGTGGCCAGAGTGTGCGGGGAAATGGGAAGGTGCTTTCCTTCCGGAGCAGCTGGGGCCAGAAAAGTAGCGCAGGGGCAACTCCTCCTCCTCATGAAGCTTGTCCTGTGCGCCAGAGAGGGCCTCTGAACAGGAAGCAAGCAGAGGCTGTCCCTGCCTGTACCCAGCGGTGCGGGTGTGAGGAAGGTGGGTGTGATCGGAGCTCCCCTTGGGATGGGGTGAAGCCTCTCGTGGGAACTGCGAAGGTCCACGCTCCCCGGGCTTGGGGCTGAGTACGGGGAGCGGCCAGCGGGGAGCAGCGCCACAGTGCAGTCGGCCGCAGGGTCAGCTCAGAAGGTGCTGTGACCGAGGGCACGGCGGGGGGGCTTTGTGATCGCTCCCCACGGGGATTGGTTGCCCGGGCCTGAGACACGAGACCCAAACGTGGCCACGTCGGGGGAGCTCCCTAATGCTCGGGGTGCCAGCTGCTCGGGCCCTTGCAGGGCCCCGCTGTGTCGGGCCTCCTGGGGGTGGACAGTAACAGTCTCCAGCGGTAGCTTTCTCATCTCCAGCTCAGAAGGGTCGGTCAGAAACCACAAGATTTGGAGGTGGGGGTCCATATCCCAGATTTGGGAACCTGGTCTTTTCTCAGAAACAGTTCTTCTCCCGCTCCTGTGCCATTCTCATGGCCGCGCCGACGTGTGAGGAAGTGAGGGTACCTTCTGAGCCCTTAGCTTGGAGCTCTGTGGCCTGGCCTGCTATCCGGCCTTCACAGAGGCCTGGTCCCGGCATCGCATGCTGTAGCAGCAGCGTTTTCCCAGTGTTCCAGGGAGGGGTGACGTGTCTTCCCATCTTCGGGACCAGGGAAATGCACCCTCAGTATTAATTTAAGGGACCTTCTTTTTCTCTTTTTGAACTTTGAGCTATGTGGCAGGGGAAGGGAGTTGCAGAGAGGATAGGAATCTTTTTAAAGCTTGATTTTCCTGTGTCCAAGCAACCCCAGCGCTGCAGGAACGTGTCTCAGGCTGTGCTATGGCCAGACGCCCCCCCACCCCTTTTGGGTGCTTCCCTCAGACGTTCGCTGTTTGTCCTGCAAGCACACGTTCTTGACTCGGCCGGAGATTTCTTGGCAAGAACCAGGGTGACAAAACCTCCCAGAAAGGGTCTCCACGGGGGTGTCCTCACTTCCCGTGCCGGGAGTGCGGCCGCCAGTGCGTGAAGGGGCGAGGGAAGACAAGGCCCTGTGCGCGGCGAGCCCGCACTCCTCCCGCCTGCGCCCCTCGCCGCTGCCGGCCCCTCCGTGGGATGGGACGTGCTTTCAGCCCCACACCTGCCTCTAGGAGCCCCTGGGCTCTCCCGTAACACCTGAGTGGCCGCACCTTCACAGGCCTGAGCCCTCTGGGCCAGAGGACACAGACGGGCGTGGCAGTGGTTTTGGAAACAGGCTGGCCACGGCCTTCCCCCCCCGTATCGTGCGTGTGACGTGGGAGGTCTGAAATCAGGCCAATGATCAGGAAAAACCAAAACCCAGCCTGTGGTTGGAAAGATAGGTGGTAGTTGAGTTTTTACAAAATTACTTAAGCCCTCTGCCCTGTTCCGTAAAAATTTCTTCTCTTTCTCTATCACTTCATAGTCGTGACCAGCACTGAGCTCTGCTCTTGAGTCAAGATGACAGACAGGGGTCCAAAGCGCAGTAGCCCCACCTGCTCCCAGCCGCTGTCTGCAGCCCCAGGTTCTGTTCCCACGGGCCTGGTGAGTGGCAGTGTTCAAACAGTTAAGCTCTTCCGGTATCTCAGGCTGGGCAGGAAGGATGGGTGCATGCACATCATAGAGCCCTCGGTATTTATAGCTTCACTTTGCGCTCCGACTCCCTGTTCCTGCCCACGCAGAGTATCCAGGCTTCCTTTGAGAAATCTGCCACGGACTGGAAGCGCTGCCGGCTGTGGGATTTCAGGAAGTGAAGGCTTTGTTTTCCTTTAATAAAGCATGTGTCTTTTGTAGGAAATTACTTCTTGGACCACAAGAACAACCATTGATCTCTTAATCCTGGCTCTTAGCAGCGGCCAGAGACTCTGTCAGCCTTGCTCTCGCCCCGCCCCCCTGCCCCGGGCTCTAAAATGTTCATACATTTTAGTACATGCATTTCACACTGCTGAGCGCGATGCCGGTGAGCTGGAAGCCTGTTCTGCCGGGAGGAGAAGCTCGTTCCAGTGCAGAGGGTGGTTTCCCAGATCATAGCCTTAGTCGGTTCGGTTTTCTTTCAAGAAACCACTTTAGAGTGAAACTTCCAGGCCCACCCCCACCCCGGACGTGTCCAGCAGCCAAGGCAGCACTCAGTCTCATCGTAAGTGCACTTCACGTGACTGTCACGACAGGAGTCCCACCTCGCGTCACGGGATCTCTGCGCGCTCGTCCCACGACCTGCCCTCCTCCTTCACCCCCACCCCCCACCGCTCTCCTCTATTGATTCCACATAGGCTGAGCCTTGGGAATGCGGGCTAAAGGCTTTGGTGCATTGCAGCATTTTCCGCGGCAGCTCTGCGGAGGATGCATTTTCTAAGCTAAGGAGAACTTTACCAAGAGGGTGCATAGTAACGCGTCTGTCATTGCTTTGGACCATGTAGGGTATTTTCCCCTGTGTTAAAATGTATGTCCTGTTTTGGTACTTAAAGCGTCTACTACAAGGAGCCAGTCCTTACAGACCAAGGTAGAGTGTAGCAGAGACCGATTTTAATGGCAGGTGGCATCTGGCCATTTCCCCCACCCCGACGCATGTTGTTCGAGGAAGGCCAGAGGCCATCAGACGGCCTGAGGAGGTGGCTGGCTCTGCGCCCCACACCCCACACCCTGCAGCCCAGCAGAGCCCGTCACGCCGCCTGGCTGCCGAACTTTGAAGGCAGCCGACCGTAGCCCCCCTCCACCCCTCCCACGCCTCCCACGCCTCCCCTTGCTGTTCTCTGGCCCAGCCTGGCCTTTTAGCGGGGTCAGAATAGGCAGAGTCCAGGGGCCCTGTGGCCCACTCCTTTTCCCCCTTTAGGACTCACTGAATGAATGGTGTCCCCGCTAAAGAAGTTAGACTCTGACTCGATACCTCTTGTATCATCTGGAACACACCACATGTTCTCAGACCTGCTCTGTACTCCGTTTTCTCGAGGGTGTTTAAGCGGGAAGCCTTTAAAGGAGGCCCACCTGCGTCGAAGCTAATGCTTGTCGCCACCTGGAATGTAGTTAGTGATCGGTGAGCCGACACCCTCCGGATTCCCAGGGGCCTCTCCTAGCCCGACGCTGCATCTGTGTCATCTGCACAGATCACGCTTGAAACAGAGATAAGGTTTTCAGTGGCTCGCTGCTGGCACGCGGGACATGCGTAGCCCCTCAGGCACGGTGAAAAAGTGCACTGAGTCAGGGACAAGAGGTGCCAGAGCAAGGACTGGGTCGGGTTACATCAGGGACCTGCTGGGATCCTGGTGTCAGGAAGTCTGCAGCCAGGCCCTTTGGGAAGGGGGAGTTCTTGACAAAGTCAGTAAATATCAAAGTGAAACAGAAAAGCTAACCCACTCCCAAGACTGTAAGCTGCTTTTTGAGGCAAGGTGTGAGGTTTGTAGTGGGGGCTGAATCAGACACGGGGCTGGGGGGCCAGCTTTTTTAACGTTTAAGGTACTTATAAACCAAAGGATCCAGAAGTCCTGTTCTCACAGAGGGGTTTCTTGACGCCTGGGAGCATCTGTGACCATAAATTGGATTTGCCTAGTCGTACGACCACCAAAGAAGTCAGACACATCAATCCAGAAACAAGTCAACATTTGGGGGAGGAAATGTCTGTACATATCATTTGCTTTCCAGGTTATTTTGGGGTGCAGGAGTTTTCAGTATTGTTTTTACACTGATGACCATTGAAGAGCATTTATGTAAACATAACGGGGTGGGGGGGGCTTCTGATCAGGGTGATGTTTGGGATGGGTTCTCTCGCTGTGATGCAAACTGTAAAATAAAGATTCTGTGACGGAAACGTATGTTATCTCGGGAGTCACTGACTCCCGGCTGCCGTCTCCTCCACCTCCCGCTCATAATTTTTTTCTTTGTGATTTTTGTTCATTAAATTAGTTAACTGCCTCCCACCCGCTCCCACTGACAATAGTGACACCTACTAGAGAAATTCGTGGGTCTTAGATCTGTGGCAGCTGCTGTGGAAACTCAAATGTGACTTCCGCCCGAGAGGCTGAATTTTGGAACAGACTGCACATCAGTTGTAGTTCACTGATGTCCTGCAGCAGCGGGGGAGGGCGTTCCTTCTGAATCAGGAGCATGGAGCCAGTTGAGGGGAGGTGACAGCAGAGACTGGGGGTGGAGCCCACAGTAGGCCAGGCAGACCTACACCCCTTCTGCCAGCAGCCAGCAAATAGCCCTGCGAGATATCCCACATAGACTTGGAGAAATCCAGGGTTTTGGACTCAGCATTTTTAGAAGTCACCCGATCCCAAACCTCTTATTTTATTAGGAGTGTTTTCAGTTTGGTATAACTTACATATAGTACAATTCACCCTTTTTAAATGTGCAGTTGGATGTGTTTTGACAAATGCATATACAATTGGCAGCCTCCACCATTAGAGACACGGGACGTTTTCCATCACCCCAGGAATTCCCCTGTGCCCTTTTCCATCGATGCCCCCCCGCTCCCCACTCCCGCCACGCCACTGCTCTGGTTCCACACTGCAGGTGAACGTGCGCCTCCCGAACCTCACGTGTGGGAGCATGCACCGTGTCCTGTGTGTGCAGCCTCTTGCACACAGCCTGCTGTTTCTATGGTGTGTGTGTCCACGCAGAGCAGCGGCCACAAAGCTGCAGATACCGGGACCTGGAGGAGTCTGTGAGACACACACCAGGTCAGCCAGCCAGTGAGTGTCAGAGCCGAGAAGAGAATCCAGGTCTCCGGACTCCAGCCTGGTCAAGTGTCGAGTCAGGGGCCTGGCCCAGCGCCCAGCACCGTGAGGGCTCTCGGTCACTGCCACTGTGTTCATGATGTCAGACTGACCCTCAGCTCGCCCTCTCCAAGGGCCAGCACAGAAAGGTCCGGTGTCCGTGTCCGGTCACCGGCGTGCTGTCCCCAGCCCCTGCCTGTCCTGAGGTGCTGCGTCACCCAGGGCTTCCCCGGTGAAGCAGCAGGAGCAGGACGGGGCCTTGTGGGAGCGGGGAGCCCAGGCGGCAGGCCCGACTCCCAGCGTGGAGACCCTGGGGCAGCCGGGGAAGGGGACCCTCTAATCTGGCATGGCTCAAACCTGAGTGGGCGTCAGATGGAGAGCCCGGGGTCCCTGGCGCCGGAGGTCTCCGTGGGGCCTGAAAAGATGCTTTTTTGCTCATGAGCTCCCAGGCAACACCGGCTCGCCTGGGCCAGGAGCGCACCTTGAGAACTGCCCGTGGGACCGGCTTTTGGTCTTGGCCCAGCCGTTGAGCAGGACTGCGCCCTGGTCCCTGGCCTGCCTGATGGGCGCAGTGCTGGGGGGTCGGGGGAGGGATGGGAGGCAGGGGCTCGCGGGGTGCCTGCCTGAGCTGCTCCCTCCATCAGCACTGGCTGCTTCCTCCCCACAGCCGGGCTAGAGTTTCCCCAGTTACAGACACCGCCAGCCATCCGGGAACCCTGTGAGCTCTCTCACCCACAGAGCCCTTGTCCCAGAACCTGGGCTCGGCCTGGGGGAGCCCCGCCTGTGAGTTTGACCGCAGCTCCCTCGCCTTTGGTTTCTTTAATGAAATGGCAGAGCCCGCGAAGTCAGGAGCGGGCATCTGACCCAAATATGCCTCGCCGAGGGCAGCCGGCCACCCCTCCCCCGGCCCCCAAGCCCCAGGACTGGTGTCCAGCCCTCCCTGCGCCCACGTGGGCTCCTCACCGTGGCAGCTGCCTTTGGTGTCCTGTCCTCCACTAGGAATCTGTCGGGTCAGCAGGCTGACAATGAGGCTGGTGAAGACGAGGTGTAAGGAAAGGGCTGACTTCTTTGCAGCCGGCGCAGGCTGGTGTCAGTCCTTGTTCTTCGCCCTGCAAAGCACAGGCCTACTGGGGTTTCTGAGAACTCTCAGGAGCCCCTCAGCCCCGGCCGTACCCCTATGCGAAGAGAAGCTGCCCCCACACGTTGGGGGCTGGGGCTCAGCGGCCAGTGTGACCCTCTCGGGCTGTGCCTTACACGCTCGCTCATGCCCACGTTGTAAGGCGATGCTGACCTGCATCCCAAAGAGGAATCTGCTCGTGGAAACATCTACGGGAAGGAACTTGAGGCTCCTCACCAGATGGAACATTCTAGCTTGCTTACGTAGGACAGCGCCCCTTACAACCCGGATGGCTCGTTGCTAAGGGCAGAAAGTGGTTCTGAACTGGGGTTTGTGGCGCCATCTGGGGTGAGTCTGGCTCACACTCCATGGCGGGAGAGTGGTACCCGGGTGCACTGCGGGGTGCGGACTCGGCTGTGGGGAGGGACTGAGCGTTGCCTCCACTTCCTCTCCTCCTTCCCTCCCACCCTTTCCATTTTAACTGGTCCCTTCCCATCAGCAATGTAGCGTATTCAAATTTTTCCTATTAAAAAACCCAAATCTCCCTAGGCTAAGCAGCAGCCCCGCCCCCCACAGGCCACACCTCTCAGGTCAGCTTTTTAACTTTCCCGAACTCACTGCAGTCTGGTTTCCATGTGCCAAAGTCACCTGCCACCTCTTGGGGCTTGGCTATTATGTGCTGTGACTTTAGCAGCTTATGACACAATGGGACTCTTCTGTCTAGGTGCTCAGCCTGGGCTCCCCTGACGTGGTGCCCTCCACAGCAGCCGCATTAGACTTCCAGCAGTGTCCCCCCATGTCCCTTCCTGTGGTTCCAGCCGACCACCTCCCTCTCCCCGCTACCACTTTCAGGGCCACCGCCCCACCCCTCAGCTGGATTACAACGTGTCCTGTCGTTGCCACCTTCCAGCCAGTGACCAGCCTTCAGTCTTGCCTCCCTCCCAGCCTTTGGCCATGCGTAAGGAAAGCAATCTTTTCAAAGTGCCTGCCTGCTGGGTTAAGCACGGGCACATGAAATTGAGCAAGAAAAAATGGAAGATCAGTATACAAAAATCAACCTGTTTCTATACACTTGCAATGAACAATCCAAAAATGAAATGAAAACAATTCCATTTACAATAGCATCAAATTCTTAGGAACCAATTTAAGGAAAAGAATGCAACACTTACACCCTGAAAACTAAAACACTGAAAAAAAGAGCTAAATCAATGGAAAGTCATTCCATGTTTATAGATGGGAAGACAGTATTGTTAAGACGAGAATACTCCCCAAATAGAGCTACAAATTCAGTGCGGCCCCCACCCAGATCTTGCCTGGCTGCTGCAAAAATTCACTAGCTGATCCGCACATTCACACGTGAATGCGGGGGATCCAGAATGGCCAAAACAATCTTGAAAAAGAATAACAAAGCTATGGACTTAACTTCTTCATTTCAAAACTAACTGCAAAGATGTAGTAATCAGGAGAGCGTGGTACTGGCCTAAGTATGGACATATATATCAGTGAAATAGAATTGAAAATCCAAAAATAAACCTAAACATTATGGCCAGTTGATTTTCAGCAAGGATGCCAAAACAAATCAGTGGGGAAGGAATCCTCTTTGTTTTCAACCAGTGGGTTCTGGGACAGCTGGACGTCCACGTGCAAAACTTAAGTTTGTAGCCCTGCCTCACCCCATATACCAAAATGACCTCAAAGTGCCTCATACACCTAAAACTATGAAACTCTTAGAAGAAAACGGGTAAATCTTCATGACCTTATATTAGGCCGCGGTTTCTTAGAAATGACAGCAAAGCACAAGCAACAAAAGAAAAAATAGATAAACTGGGCTTGACCAAAATTAAAACTCTTGTGCTTCCCAGGACATCACCAAGCAAGTAAAAAGAAAACTCAAATATTTGCAAATCATAAGGTTCTCATTTCCAGACAAGAGAAGCCTTACTACTCAATAAAAGGATAACCCATTTTTAAAATGGGCAGAGGGTCTGAACAGGCACTTCACTTAGCATGATCATTTTAAGGTTGCTCCAGGTTGTAATGTGTATCAGAATTTCACTTCACAATGTTCCATTGTGGAGATGGACCACATTTGGTTGGTCCGTCACCCATTGATGGACTCCTGGGTTGCTTCTGCTTTTTGGCTGCTACGGATGGTGCAGTTGTAAACATGGGTGTGCAGGTAACTGTTCAAGTCCCTGCTGTCAGTTCTCCTGTGTATACGCCCAGAAGTGGATCCTAAGATAGTCTTGTGTTGACGTTTTTGGAGAACTTCCCCTCTACCCTTTTGCACAGCAGCTGCACCATCGACATTTCTGCCAGCTCTGCACAAGGGTTCTGATTTCTGCACAAGTGCTTTTACCAACACATTATTTTGTTTATTTTTTGCTTTTTTTTTATTGTAGCCATCTTACGGCTGTGATTTCGTATCTACTGATCTTGATTTGCATTTCTCTAACGATTAGTGATCTTAAGCATCTTTTGTGTGCTGATTGGCTACTTGTGTTTCTTCTTTGGAGAAATATCTATTCAAGTCCTTGACCCATTTTTATTTTGTTTTAGTTTAGTTTTAATTATGGTAAAATATATAGAGCACAAAACTGCCATCTTGACCATTTTTAAGTGGGCAGCTCCACAGTGCTCAGCACGTTCACACTGCTGGGCGACCGCCACCGCCACCCGCCTGGAGAGCTCATTCATCTTGCAGAACTGAGACTCTGTCCCCATTAAACGCTGACGCCACCCCAGCCCTTGGCACCCACCATTCTCCTTTCTGTGCCTGTGAGTTTGACCAACCTAGATGCCTCGTATAAATGGGACTGTACAGTGTCTGTCTCGTTGTAACTGGCCTATTTCACTCAGCATCATGGCCTCTGTGTTCCCATTTTTGAATTGGGTTTTTTTGTTGTTGAGTTGCAGGAGTGCTTTATAACCTCTGGATACTACTCCCTTACCAGGCGTATGGCTTATAAATACTGTCTTGTACCCTGTGGGTTGCCTTTTCACTCTTGATAGTGTCCTTTGA